GTACATATATAGGAGTGCAAATCAAATATGTTTTTTAAGGAATTTTTATTTTCAAATTTGTTGAAAATTTTCTAAAATTGATTTATTTATTGAAATTAAATATCATTTTGAATTTGAAAATTAAGTCATTTGTAGGGCCGGTTCAGGGCATGTTTGCCCAGGGTCGCTAAAAATTAGGGACCCAATTGCAAAAAAAAAAAAGTTACATATATATATATATATATATATATATATATATGTGGGGAAGGGATCATGTGCATTTGTTGCTTTCCGTGCGGATGTGCGGTGGATTAATGTGCGTGAGGTTTATACTTAATGTGCGTGAGATTTGTACTCAATGTGCCTGAGATTTGTACTTAATGTGCGTCATGTTAATATGCGTGAGTTTTGTACTTAATGTGTCTGAGTATTGTGTTTAATGTGCGTGAGATTTGTGCTTAATGTGCGTGAGTATTTCAGAATTACGAGCTCAGAAGGAAGCAGAACAGAAACTCACGCACATTAACGCCCAAGCTTCTTGTTACTTCTTCCTTCAATTTAGCCATGGATTCTGGATTATCAGCTACCTTCAATGCAGTTGAATGTTTATATAAATGACGCACGCACAGTAAAATTTGCACAACAGCAAAGTGTGGATTTCTGTTGTATTATTTCCATAATTCTTAACCACCATAGCTCGCCTCCGCATCATCATCATCAGGGAGGGGGCAAATGGCTACTGGGGATGGGGAAGAAGCTGACATCAATATTTTCTGCTGCATTTTACACATTCACGCACATTAAGTACAAATCTCAGGCACATTAAACACAACACTCACGCACATTGAGTACAAATCTCGCGCACATTAATCCACCGCACATCCGCACGGGAACCTTTCACTATATATATATATATATATATATATATATATGTATATATATATATATATATATATGTATATATATATATATATATATATACATATATATATATATATATATATATATATATATATATAGATTTTGGATCCAGTGAGGTTACCTTTGTCAGGCGAGGTGGTGAGGCTTGATCTGGTACGTTTGTTTGGGTTTTTGGATGGATTAGATTTGGCTGAATATAATGCCCTGTGCGTGTGATTTATTTGCATGTGGGGGTGTTGTTGTCTTTTTGGTAGTGTCTTAATTAGGGTGTAATAATTAATTAGCAGATTTTATGGGCTTGTGCACTACTTAATTATGATATTGTATCGGGTGTGTGCAATTTGTTTTCCCGTGTGTGCATTTGGCTTCAATTCTTTGTTATGCTGTGTGTGCAATTTGTTTTCCCGTGTGTGCGTTTGGCTTAAATTCTTTGTTATGACGGGTATGATCAATCAGCGGTATGGTTGTGGTTTTTGTTGCATGTTGATTCCGTTATTCAATTTAAAAATTAATGAACAGAAGTTTGCGTTGTCTTATGAAGTTTTTCTGTGTGCATTTTATGTGTTCGGCTTGTGCGTTGGGTCACAAATAGGTTGACAAGTTTTCAGGCCAAATATCTCTTATTTGGACTGTCAACTAGAATTGAGGCAAACTTTTACCATATTTTTATAGCTTGGTTTTTGTTTTTTTACGTAAAGCAATTTTGGTATGTGTATTTTAATTGTAACATGTTATGATCTATTAACGGTTGTTGTGTTGTTATTTTATATATTTATTTGGTGCTTTTTATTGTTATGGTCTGTGCGATTGGGGTTTACAAGGGGTGTGTGTGTGTGTGTGTGTGTGTTTTTTTTTTTTTGTTTTTTTTTCTTTTTTTTTTTTGGGTTTAAAATTTACACTAGATTCTAGTAGGTCTGACGTTTGTTCGGTTTAGTTTTTGGGCTTGTGCGTTGGGTTCTTAACTCAACGCACCGACTTAACTAAATGGCTGCACAGACAGAACATAACCCATAACACACTTCTATTAAGGTTGCACATATCTCTTTCCGGTTGCACCTTCATTGTTGAGTAGATATTCCACCGCAAAATACTATTACAGAGTACAAATGTTTAAATACAACTCACACTCTATCAACAATAATTTATAACCGTAAATATATTATTCACACTCTATCCTTAGCATGGAATATATTCCAATCTATTCCTAACCATATATAGCTCTAATATTACAATTACTTATACACCCTTATGCATAGACGGAAAATAAATCTCTTTCAATCTCACCCTTTGGTATGTTATGATTTAATGGATGAGATGAGGCCCCATTATCTCACCCCTCTAAGTGACCTCATGGGATCCGAAGCATATATATATATATATATATATATATATATATATATATATATATATATATATATATATATATATATATATATATATATATATATATGGAGTATATTAGATGTTGTAGGAAACTAGGAATTGGTAATTTGTGTATAGAGTTTTAATCACTTAAGCTTTAGGAGACGTGGAAGGCGGCAAAATTTGTGGTGCAATAAGCCAATAAAATGTCGAACCTATATTTTTTTTGGAACGGTCATGGTCATCTAGTAGCCAATATCGTATTAACTAATTAGCTTGTATTTTGTGGGCAATGTGTCCCCCTTAATCACCCTTAACAAACCCAATGCATAATTTACTACTGAAAAAACAAAAGAGGTGAAATTGCTATTGCCTTTATTAATGTTGGTATTATAGAAATGAGTTAATTTCATTTTTTGTCCTAGATTTATATGTGACAATTCGCTTTTAGTTATTTTTTTCAAAACATATTCATTTGGTTCTAGTATTATTGTGACATGATCATTTTTTGTCCTTCATTAACAAAAATGTTTAAATTTCATAAAATCCAAAAGCATTTAGGTCTTCAATTATGAATTTTTTCAAAAATAAAAATAAAAATATAGCGGGTCAATCCACTTTGTATAAAAAAGATGAAAATTTTCTTGTATTTAACGACATTTTAACGATTTTGTTGACAAAGGACCAAAATTGGTCATGCCGTAATAATATTATTACCAAAATGAGATATTCTGAAAAAGAAATGGACTGTCACATATAAATTTAAGATAAAAAATAGAATTAACTCTTATAGAAATATAAAGTTGACAATGCAAGTATAAGCGTGTTATTTAAAAGAGACTACAAAGAGTGGAATTTAAAAGAGACTACAAAGAGAGTAAGAAAGTTGGCTGAACTAAGTATCGATGGGTGCCATAGGTAGAATCATGAGAATAAGTTTGAGGCCCACATGGGTAGCTCAACTGGTCATAGAGGTGAAACTTTGAAAGAATGACCAGGGATCGAGTCTCACCAGCGGCAGTGTGGGAGCACCCTCTCAAAGTGAGGGCAGTGAGCACGACTCATGATTTACATCCTCCCAAATGCTCTGTCGGGCCTTTAGGGTAGCGGTCAATGGTTAACAAATTTCACATACCACATCATCTCTTGTAGCTTAGAGGAAGTTGAGGCCTAAGCAATTCTTGAGGGAATGCAACTCACTTGGGATAGGGGATTTTTACGTGCAGAAGTTGAATGTACTTGTGAAAGAGTGATCAAATGGCTAACGAATGATAAGTTTTTTTAGATATTTATTTTGAACTTATTGGAGATGTGCAGTAAAAAGTTATGTCATAAATGGGAGATTAAGTTGATGAGCATCTACATAGAATAAAATAAAGTTGATTATTATCTTACTAATATAGCAATCCAACATGTTTCGAAATTTCGAGTGCTCCAGGACCCTTCGACTACACCACATCAAATGGGTTAAAGTATCTACGAGGTCCCTGTACTATAATGTTTTGTTCAATTTAGTCCTTATACATTTATTTTGTTCAATTTAGTCTATGTATTCTCAAAAGTGGTGCAATTGAGGACAATAATTAACGGTGTTAATATTATCGTTTAACTTAGATTACGTGGCGGTGACAATATTTATATTCCTACTCATATATTACTTTATAAATATTTAAAATTAATTATTTTTACCACTAATATTAAATTAATATGTCCAAAATAAATAATTCAAACCATGTTCCTAATGAGATTTGGACAATTGTCCTTAGTTTCAACACTTTTTAAAGTAGAAGAACTAAATTGAACAGAATAAAGGTACAATGACTAAATTGAACAAAAGACTATAGTACATAGACTTCATATGTACTTTGACCCATCAAATGCTTATAGAGTTGTAGAAGATACCTCGGGTGCTCCAAGGAAGCAAATGGTATCTTGTTAGTGCGGTGTTCTTTAGGGTATTTCATATTCTTTTGATGCAAAAAAAGTTAGGATAATGTAAGTTTTGACTACGTTGACAATTATATAGTAATGTTTAATATTTGTCTGAGTTATTATTATTATTTTTGATCAAGAGGAGGGCCAGACCCAATGCCTTAGTTGGGGCACCCTTCCGAGATACTTCTCGCACACGGTAACTCTTTAGAGTCACTTGAAAGCGCATCCTTCACACTGGAGGGAGGCTCCTCCCATTCAATCCTTTCGGAACAGTACGAGTTTGCTTAGCCATGATGTCCGCCACCGCAACATTATTTTCCCACTAAGCTCTACTTTTTTTCTGTTCTTTTTTTTTTTTTTTTGGCACGACAGAAGACCCCATGAAGCATTACGTCACACGTTGCCTGGCGACTCCCAACGCGTCGAGCTAAAGGAGGTCCTTCAAGCAGTCAGACAAATCTGACAGGATAGTTGTGCCACAATCCCCATCTTACTCCAAAATCAAGTTCTTGCAGTCAGCAATCAACGTTGAACACACTTAGTCCAGATCCAACTCTTTGTGAATAACATTCACTTTTGCCTCCAAGTCAAGCTCAACATAAACTCCCCTCTAACCACTATCTCTAAAGGCCCTCAAAGAAGTTGTTTGTGCGTCCAATTTAAAAAACACTTCAAATTTAAACTTTCTCTTTAAAAGGTACATCCAGATAGGGAGAGCGTGGCCCCACCAGCTGACCAATGCAAATTAATTATTAATTAATTAAAAAACAAAGATGTATACACCAAACCAAAAAGCTCAAACACAAACAGAGAAACCGCCATCACGGCATCACCTGAGCAGCTGAGCTTCCATTGATTCATTCGCTGTACATACTATTATTATACGTACATAAACAAAGTTAATTTCCGCCATAAAGCTAGAGAAAAGTTGCACGCTTTTACCAGAATTCGATCATCGCCCAAATACTTTGTCTTCTTTTTCTTCTAATCTTCTTTGTTGTCGTCGTCGTCGTCGTCATCGGAGGCTGAAATCTCTGGAGCTCCCACTTAGACGCGAGTTCCGATCCGGTTCCGTGGCTGAATGTGAGGCGATCGATATACTCGGAGCTTGTTCAAATGGTAAGTCCAAGTTCAACCCACCGGTCTCTGCGGTCTGCTCAAGTCAATTCTGTCAACTCACTGCCATTTTGCATTAGTTGTATTCTCTTCGTGTCAGTTTGCATTGTTGCGATCTGTTTAGTGTGTTTTTTTAAAGTTGTGCGTGTACACTGCATATGAATATCTTCAACATGTAATTTGATAAGCCATTGCTTTGCGAAATTTCACTGCCTTGCTATGCAATTTGATGTTCTGGATGTAAAAGCATTTTAAAAAAGTATGAAATGCATCAGCAATCGTTAAACCTATAGCGAGAGAGTGAGAGTCCATTTTGATGTGCTCCACAGGAAACGGGGGACAAGCCTAAATTCAGCTAAAGAGCAACTATGGGGCAAATTTTAGGACTTGCTGTTGAATTTAAAATATGGCTGTAATTTAGATTGGATTCTTTTTACTCCACAGGAACCCCCATGGTAATGCAGCAATATCAAGGCTATGTAATGTAGCATTTGCCATGTATTTTGCATACTTTTTTTTTTTAATGAAACCATGTCACTTGTAAGATTAGTTGTTCATCAATTTTGAAATTTCAAACTGCTTACCATGAGGAACTCAATTTAATCTTTTTTATTTATTTTGTTTGGCTCTATAAGCAAACTGGCATTTCGTTTAATTCTTTTATAGTCACTAATTTCTTGGATGCATTATTACATTACTCTATATGAAAAGAAATAATATCTAGACAATTAAAGCAAACAAGTGGAAAAGTGAAAGATAAACATGAGAGTTATTAGTGAAATGGAAGGGGCTAGGATTCTAAGTAATAAGGAGCTTGCAATCTGCAGCCATAAGCTTTCAATGTTCCTATTATTTTATCCTGGCTAAATGGTCTGCATTTGGTTATTAGTCCCTGCTAATGAGTGTTAGTAAGAAAGCATAAAAATTAAAATGCTTATCATAGAAATGGAGTCTGTCTTTGTGATTTCTTCCCATTTTTTCCTTGAGCATGTGATGTAGAAATTTGCAATTTGGGAAATTTATTCTTTTTGTTGTTGTTGTTGTTGTTGTTGTCAAGTGCTACCACTCATAAGTGATGATTTTTCAGTGGCATGACTCAAGTATAGATTTTCTTTCATTACTATCTAGTTTTAGTTGCACATATCTTGAATTGGAACAATTTGGTTCAAAAACATGCATCAAGGGTGATTCTTTCAGTAGCACTTTGTTCATAGATTTTCTCCACTTTGTTCTACTATGCTATTATATTTAACTTTGTATTTTATATGCATTTATATGACTTTTCAAATTTCAATTTAAAAAATGTAACATACTCCCTTAAACTTCTAATGAGTGCTTGTTTGCAGGCATCAACTGTCAACATTACTGTAGGTTCTCATGTCTGGGTTGAGGACCCTCAATTGGCATGGATAAATGGAGAAATAGTCAAAATTGATGGTCAAAATGTACATGTTAATACTACAAACGATAAAAAGGTACTGTAAAATTTTACCATTATTTCATTCTTATATTATGTATTGTTTTCTATTGGGAGGTCCATTACCTTTTGTGCTAATAGAGGTATTGAAATCATTCCCACCTGCATTGTCATCGTGTTCTTTAACCATTCATGTGCTACTTTTGTGCCTTCATATATATATATATATGTGTGTGTGTGTGTGTGCAATAAAAATGTTGAAATGAATATTGTTTGACACTGTAACATTTGGATCCCCATGTTGGTACCTAAAGTTATGAGGCACATATGTCCTTGTCTCATGCCTATGGTTCAAAGTTTAGCAATTCCGTAGTTTTCTAAGGTTCCAATTCTGTGTTGCATGTGGAAATTTTATAATTTCTTACTTTTGATCTCAGGTTGTTGCAAACATCTCTAAGGTGTTCCCCGAGGACACTGAAGCACCTCCTGGTGGTGTAGATGATATGACTAAACTATCTTATCTTCATGAACCTGGAGTTCTTCAAAACCTTGCTGCCAGATACGAACTAAATGAAATATATGTATAAATCTCTAGTTTTCTGTTTAATCTTCAGATTACTTTGATGGATAATTTATGCTATTGCTGATATCTTCTTTATTTGCTTCCGCAGACATACACTGGAAATATTTTAATTGCAGTAAACCCCTTCCAAAGATTACCTCATCTTTATGATATTCACATGATGGAACAATATAATGGAGCAACATTAGGAGAGTTGAGTCCTCACGTATTTGCAGTTGCTGATGTTGCATTTAGGTACCGATGATATGCTTAACTGTGTGTGTGTGTGTGTGTTGTGGTCTTGTGGATGAGAATTTCATACTGGTAGCTAATATTCTTGTCAGAGCCATGATTAATGAAGGAAAGAGCAACTCAATTTTGGTCAGTGGAGAAAGTGGTGCTGGTAAGACAGAAACCACTAAGATGCTTATGAGATACCTTGCACATCTGGGAGGTAGGTCAGGGGTTGAAGGACGTACTGTAGAGCAGCAAGTTTTAGAAGTAAGACATCAGCTTTTTACTATTTGCTTATGTCAATCCTTTAAGAACCTTCCAAATCTGTTGCGATTTGTATAGAAGCAGCTAGTCTTTTAAGAAACTCTAATTTGGACAGAAGTGCTGGATAAATCTAATTTGTCTTCTAATTTGCAGTCAAATCCTGTCCTTGAGGCATTTGGAAATGCTAAAACTGTGAGGAATAACAACTCAAGGTCTGTGTAACCTCTCTAACCATAGAAAGTGGGGTTATTTGATTAAATCATCCTTCCATAGTTGGATGCCATCAAATATACATTTTTAAATTCTGTGTGCTAACTGCACACCCTTTCTTGTTCTATCTGCTCATTCATGCAGTCGCTTCGGTAAATTTGTTGAGATACAATTTGATAAGAAGGGAAGGATATCAGGTGCAGCTGTACGGACATATCTTCTGGAGAGATCTCGTGTTTGCCAAATTTCAAATCCTGAAAGAAACTACCACTGCTTTTATCTTCTTTGTGCGACGCCTGAGGTATTGAAGTTGAAGTTTTGTGCTTTATTGTTTATTTGTTGTTGGCTTTTCTAAAAGGAACTTGTCTTTTCTATGCGCAATGCGCAAAAATAAAAGCCTAATATTATTAATCAATTTCAAAATCATAGTAATATTGATTTTTTTTTTAAATAATAGTATATAAATTTATAAGAAAAGTCATAAAATTTATATTATATTAAAAAGTATAGTTGATAATTTGGGTAATAACTATCGTATGATTAATAATTGTTATAAAGTAAGCATTTTAGATATGGTAAATGATTAAATATAATTATGGTAACATTTAATATATACTAATAGAAGTTTAACGGTCTAAGGGTAATTTTTTCCAATAAAAATGATAGTACATTATTTGTAGCGGAATTTATAACTCAATGAGCATAGAAATACAGACATAAATCAGGGTACTAACATGGATTCACTCTTATACGTTTTTATAAGATAAGAAATTATAGTAATCTTACTCAATGATGGTTTCACAGACTTGAAAATATTTTTCTTTTACTTACAGGAGAAAAAAAGATATAAGTTGGGAAGCCCAAACGAATTTCATTATCTCAACCAGTCCAATTGTTATGAGCTTGATGGAGTGAATGACGCTGATGAGTACCTTGCAACAAGAAGGGCTATGGATATAGTTGGAATCAGTGAGGGAGAACAGGTTAGATTTCCCTACTCTATGTCAGATGCATCATTTATATTTCTAATGTTTTTACTAAATTATTGCAGCCTTGCAGGAGGCAATTTTTAGGGTGGTTGCTGCAATTCTTCATCTTGGTAATGTTGATTTTGCAAACGGGCAAGAGATTGACTCCTCTGTAATTAAGGATGAGAAATCTAGGTTTCATCTTAATATGACAGCTGATTTGCTCAAGTAGGAACTTTCCTTTTCTTACTCTTTTCTATTACTAGGATTTGTGCTTTTTGGTGGACTTTAACTTAATATAAATTTAAAGGTGTGATGCCAAGAGCTTGGAAGATGCACTAATTAAACGTGTGATGGTCACACCTGAGGAGGTTATTACAAGGACTCTTGACCTAGAGGCTGCATTGAGTAGCAGGGATGCTTTGGCCAAAACATTATATTGTCGCCTTTTTGACTGGTATGGCAATTAGATACCACTTGTTTTTCTGTCAAATGTGCATGCATATGCAGTGTTGATTATGCGATTATTCCCTATTTTTAATTTCTTGTTCTAAGAACTTCTTCTGTTGTCTCCAGGATTGTACAGAAAATAAACATTTCAATTGGACAGGATCCTAACTCAACGTCAACAATAGGAGTTCTTGATATTTATGGATTCGAAAGTTTTAAAACCAACAGGTTACGATTTTTAAAGACATTCCATTTATGGCACAATGGCACATAATGAAAGTTTAATGCATCTTACTAATGTTATGCTTTTGCTTTTCTTTTGAAATAGTTTTGAGCAATTCTGTATCAATTTTACAAATGAAAAACTACAACAACATTTTAATCAGGTTAGTTATCTTCCTTTCATTTAGGTCACTACTTTTTTCTCCTTTGTGATTATTTTTTGGATGAGGGGGTAGGTGGACAAATTATACCATGAACCTGGGTTCATCTCAAGTTGAGTTCCATGTTCTTGAATTGGCTAATTCTATACACAAGATTCGTCTAATTTCTAATTCAAATTCATCATCAACTGATATGAATCTAATATTGACGTTGATGAATTGGAGTTGGAACTGTTATGAGTTTAATTTATAAATTTGATAAATCTGTTTATGGGTCTCGCCATGCAAGGTGGGCCATTCTCATTGTGTACCAACTAAGGTGGGTGGTCGTGAGTGGTATAGATGATTAGAGTTGTATTAAGTCCAGCCTTGCAGGTTCTTGGACTTGCATTTGCAGCTATGTTTCTATCCTCCTCTTAGTAAGTGCTGTACTGGTTGAACTAAGTTTTCTACTTAAAATCATCGTTATCATGGTTGCAGCATGTATTTAAGATGGAACAAGAAGAATATGAAAAGGAAGAGATTAACTGGAGCTACATTGAGTTTGTTGATAACCAAGATGTGCTGGATCTCATTGAGAAGGTTTGCAACCGCACCTTCATTACATTTTTTATGGCAGATTCTTTAATATTTTTAAAAACAAATTAATGGTCTGACACCTTATGAGGTATTCATTTATTAAATACATGATAATCCACATAGTTAGTTCTGAAGACAGGTGTTACTTTCAAATTATAATGAGTTGACAATTTGCAGAAACCTGGAGGAATCATTGCACTCTTAGATGAAGCTTGGTATGTTCATTCACTACCTTAGAACCCACTGTGTTTTATTTAATATGTAGAAGGCTGGGTTTACAATATTTTATTTATTTTATGCTCAGGTACTCACTATATTGCTTTCTGCAGCATGTTCCCCAAATCTACTCATGAAACATTTTCTCAAAAACTGTACCAGACATTCGTGAAAAACAATCGCTTCATCAAACCCAAACTTTCTCGTACTAGTTTTACAATATCACACTATGCAGGGGAGGTAACCAAGAGTCCCTTAGTTGCAAATACTCATAATTCTCTTTGCCAGTGTGATGCTGGATTGTCCTGTATAACCTACAGGTGAATTATCAAGCAGATCTATTTTTGGAGAAGAACAAAGACTATGTGGTTGCAGAGCATCAGGAGCTGTTAACAGCTTCAAAGTGCTCATTTGTGGCTGGTTTATTTCCACCACTTCCTGAAGAAGCATCAAAATCCTCCAAGTTTTCTTCTATTGGAACACGATTCAAGGTTTATCACTCAACTTCCATTCATATTTTAGTTATAAAGAACACTAGATAAATCATTTTCCATAAGTTCTGCTCAAGCCTTGTGTCAATTTCTGGCTTATTCCTTTTCTATTATTTACTACTATGGTCTCTGCCATTATTTTCTAAGTGCAATCCAAAAGTTGAAGACTGTGAAGGAACATCAATTCAACCAAGTAATTTACAAGTTTATCTGAAAAGCCCTCACTAGCATCTAAGTTTTCACAGTATTCCAGTTTTGTAACAATCTAATCCCTCTGTATGGTTTTGGGAAAGGAAATGCTACTCAGATCTTGTCTGAACCATAATATTAGAGTTTGGGTCTTTACAACCCAGTTATGTCATAGAGTATTAGGATTTCTTTCTATCAGTGCCATTTTTGACTCAGTTTTGTGGCACCTTGCTTCATCCAAGGGTAGATATTTGTTTGCTTTATTTGATTTATCATGAAATTCCAGTATTTCTGAGACATCATAATTATCTCAATGTGATAAAGTATTGATACATCTAAAATGGCTGATAATTGAATGTATATTCCTTTGTAGTTGAGATTATCTGATAAATATCTGCCTTATTTACTTCTTGCAGCTACAACTGCAGTCTTTAATGGACACCTTGAATTCAACAGAGCCTCACTATATCAGATGTGTCAAACCAAATAATGTCCTCAAACCTGCTATTTTTGAGAACTCGAACGTGATTCATCAATTGCGATGTGGTGTAAGTATTTTCTGGGAAAACCTTATCCTTATGTGGTGTTTTCCGTGACAAGGTTTAATCATTTCCTTGGCCACTCACATAAATTCTGCACTCTGTAGGGTGTTCTTGAAGCTATCAGAATCAGCTGCGCTGGGTACCCCACTAGACGCACATTTTATGAATTTCTTCTTAGATTTGGTGTTCTTGCTCCAGAAGTTTTATCAGGGAAGTAAGTATCGGCCTTTTTAACCGTTTCTATCTTGAAAGTTCTCAAACTACTTTTGCTGTCAACTAAATCTAAAACATCCATCTTATGATTTGCTGATTTCCCTTGCTTACTTTTCAGTTTTAGTTGGTGTTAGTGAACATGAATTTCTGATAAAATGTGGTAAATCCTTCTACAGTCATGATGACAAGGTTGCATCTCAGATGATTCTGGAAAAAATGGAATTAAAAGGTTATCAGGTAAACTATAGCACATTTGAGAGTTTAGGATACTATGTATTTGGCTTTGTTATGAGGTTTCCTTATATATTTTCTGTTGTCATAGCCATGAGGGATGTTATCTTCCTTGCCATTCTTAAGTATCAGTTCATTACATTATTGCTATACTCATCTTTACAGATAGGGAAAAACAAGGTCTTCCTGCGGGCTGGTCAGATGGCTGAGCTTGATGCCAGAAGGGCAGAGGTACTTGGAAATGCAGCCAGGATTATCCAAGGGCAAATACGCACATACATTAGACGAAAGGAATTCATTGCATTGCGTCAAGCGGCAGTTCAATTGCAATCATGTTGGCGAGGTAAACTTTCAAATTTAGCACTGTAAATTTCAGTGATCTAGTATTCTAGTTCACTCTTAGATATGTTGAATCTTTTGATTCATTAAATGTTACTGTATATTGCATTCTCAATTTTGAGTGGAAGAAAGAAAAGTGTAATGCAATCTAAATTAGTTATGGTAGGCTTTTTAGAGATATGTGAGGCTTCAAAATGGACTTCTTTTGATATGCATTTTCATAAGCCGGTAAAGCTCTGCAGAAATCTTGGTAGCAGCATTAGTGCATAAGAACAAGATTCAGAACTGAAATCTTACTCCTTTTACTGTCCTTACCTTGCTTCATTTGAACATCTGTTAACTTATGCAGCTATTTATAAATCATTAGTCCTTTTCATAGAATGACTCTTCCCATCTCACAATTATCAGCTATGCTGGCTTGCAAACTGTATGGGCAATTGAGACGTGAAGCAGCAGCTCTAAAGGTTCAGAAGAACTTCCGATGTTATGTTGCAAGGAAATCATACTCAACATTGCGTTGTTCTGCAATTACATTGCAAACAGGCATGAGAGCAATGGTTGCTCATGAAGAACATAGACTCAGGAAGCAAACTAAAGCTGCAATTAAAATCCAGGTAACTCTGTCTATATAACACACCAGTCATGGAGGAGAACTGAATGGAAAAATTGATTATCTGATGAATTATTTTATTGTGCATTTGCAGGCTCATTTCCGTTGCCACAGAGCTTATTCTTACTATAAAAGTCTTCAGAGGGCTGCTATTGTCACTCAGTGTGGTTGGAGGCAACGAGTTGCTAGGAAAGAGCTCCGAAAGCTCAAAATGGTTTTAGTGCCTATCCTTTATGCATTCCCGTCTCATGCTGCACTGGCACATACACACACATGCACATACCGCATTCTCCATCTCAAATTGGATGTATGGCTGTCATGTATGGATTTTACACAACTAGTTTGATGGAGGATCTGACTTGATATAGTTTATTACTTTGGAGTTCAAATATATTTTAGTATAGTTCAAGCAGACATGAAAGAGTATTTTAGAATTGTTTAGATGTTGGGAAGTGAAATAACTTGTCCCATTGATTTTTGAAGGTGTGTATTAAAAATGAAAAAAAAAAAAAAAAGAAGCTTTTATACAGCATTACAGCTTGAAATTTCTGAACTAGGGGAGTATCTATTTTTGTTCAAAGGACAAACTTATCAATTATTAACTATGTACTTTTAAACTCAGGCTGCAAGAGAGACAGGTGCCCTCAAAGAAGCAAAAGACAAGCTTGAAAAGAAAGTGGAAGAACTTACATGGCGCTTGCAGCTTGAGAAGAGATTAAGGGTTACTGTTACACCATATAAAATTTTGTTGAATTCTTTTTCTGTTAGTTTATTACGCTTGATTGACACTGCCCTTGTTTTTTTGTCAATCAATACAGACTGAACTAGAGGAGACAAAAGCCCAAGAAACAGCCAAGTTCCAGGAGGCATTGCATGCATTGCAAATGCAAGTAGACGAAGCAAATGTGAGAATTATACAAGAAAGGGAGGCTGCACAAAAAGCAATAGAAGAAGCACAACCTGTGATTAAGGAGACCCCTGTCATAGTTCAAGACACAGAAAAGATAAATGCCTTGACAACAGAAGTTGAGAGGTTGAAGGTATGTGTTAGAACAAGGTCACTCAACTGGGCTATAATGCACATGGGCCAAACCACACTAAAAGATTGAATCCAATCAATTAGCTAGTCTAAGCCATGGCCTTATAAACCCATATATTTCGATCTTATTTTTCAAGGTGGGACTCTTAACAGTATGAATTCTTTACTTCTGATGGTAATGATCAATTTACATAATCTTGCAATCACTGAAGATGGAACATTATGATTTTGTGTATTGACACTTTACTTGCTGAAGAGGTTGCATGTAATATATTGGAGAACTAGGGACAGATACAGCCCCTTGGTGTAAGCATGAATACTTACTGTATGGATGCTTGGACAATTGCTTTGACCCTTCGACATAGTGCCACATCTTTGATCCTTATTAACTAATTTTTCTTCTAAATGTTTTGCTATGTTCCATGGGAATAGAAAGATTCCATTTGAAATTGACCATCCGTTTTCAACATAGCCTTACTGACTTTGTCTGCGGGCTTGAATTAGAAGGTCTTTTAAGCTTTTGGCAAACCTTGTGACTGTTACAGTTTCATGTGTGGAACAGCTATGTATAGGAAATTAGGAATAATAATTCATCCAAAAGTAAATGTGGTTCTAAATTTATACACATCGCACAGGATTCACTGCTATCAGAAAAGCATGCTGCAGAAGAGGCAAAGAAGGCTTGTACAGATGCAGAGGCCAGGAATGCTGAAGTTATGAACAAACTTGGTGATGCAGAGCGAAAAATTGATCAACTTCAAGATTTTGTACAGAGGTTTGTATGGAAATTTTGAAAAGGGCTACCAATTTTAATGATAAATACTATAGGGAATTCAGTTTGTGACTCCTACCATTGTTTAATCATTCAAATATTAGTGTAATTGCACAAAGCACCTACCAGAGAATATGCATTTCGTGTTTTCAATGTTATATTTATGATTCAAACAAAATTTTCTCCTGCTTATTACTTTTCTCACTTGTCATCTGCATGTATTTCTGACTGCATGCTTACCTAAATTTAATGTTATTCTCTTAAGGAAAGGAGATAATGCATAGTATGTCTCTTTTATACATACTCATTAGTTATTAACTAATGTTCAAATATGCTTTTCTTCTCTGAAGTGTTCCGCTTGCTTTCTTTTCAGGCTTGAAGAGAAGCTTTCAAATAGCACATCAGAGAACCAAGTACTTCGCCAACAAGTTCTTACCATGTCACCGACTGAAAAAATTATATCTATACAACCAAAAACACCTATTGTTCAGGTAAATCTCAGAGTTGGTTGGTACTGAGTACTATTTTCTCAGAGGAAATAAACTTCTCAGTGATAATTGAAAAGAATTTTATTTTATGGTGGTGAAAATGCAGAGAACTCCTGAAAATGGAAATGTAATGAGTGGAGCAGCAAAGGTTATTCATGTAAGAATAATAGAATGACATCTCTTTCTATTGTAACTAAAGTGCTTTCTAACAATGAGAAAATATATACTTGATCTTTATTGCATATGATCAGCGTATGGATCTGGCAGTATCAAGTCCAAAGGAGCCAACTTCTGAGGGAAAACCACAGAAGTCTCTCAATGAAAAGCAGCAAGTGAGCGGCTAATTTTTTAAATCAATTATTTATTTATTTATTAAAGTTGATGGTTCTTATTAAAAATATTTAGTTGACTGTTGCTGTTCAGTTTCTGTCCTAGATAACTTACTTCTATAACCTTCTACTCCTCTACAGGAGAATCAGGACTTACTGATAAAGTGTATTTCACAAGACCTTGGATTTCCTGGAGGCAAACCAGTCACTGCTTGTGTCATATACAAATGCTTACTTCATTGGAGGTCATTTGAAGTTGAAAGAACTAGTGTTTTTGACCGTATAATACAAACCATAGCTTCAGCCATAGAGGTATAGTATATTGTTTTAATTATTTAATGGTTTCATTTTGGTCTATTTAATGCACTGGATCTATCTATGTGCAAAAGAACTTATATATTGTGCTCTTTACTCTTCTCTGTCTGAAACATTTGAATGTACGTAATTCATGGAATGACATAATAATTTCACCTGTGCTGTAGGCTGCGGATAGTAATGGTGTTTTAGCTTACTGGCTATGCAATACATCCACATTGTTGATGTTGCTCCAGCAAACACTTAAAGCAAGTGGCACTTCAAGTTTTACTTCACAACGACGGAGGTCACAATCAGCTGCTTTTTTGGGGAGGATGCCACAAGTATGGTTACTATTCTATTTCTGAACTTAAATTTTCCCGTCAAGTTGCCAAAATTATTTACTGCCTATTTTCTGTCGTGACTACTGGTAAATTTTGGTATAGGGCTTACGAGCTTCCGCACAGAGGGCTGGGCTTTCCTTTCTCAATGGGCGTACACTTGGGAGAATGGATGATTTACGTCAAGTTGAGGCCAAATATCCTGCTTTGCTGTTCAAGCAGCAGCTCACTGCCTTTCTAGAAAAAATATATGGAATGATAAGAGACAATTTGAAGAAAGAGATCTCCCCTTTGATTAGTTTATGTATTCAGGTATGCAGTAATGGTGCAAGCTTGAAACAAAGATCTGGCATAAAAATTTTGTTTTGCTTTATAACGGTTCTTTCTCCGATAACCCATCCCTCCTCCCCCCCGTGCCATCACTTCCAAAGAAAAAAACATGTGCTCTCTGTGCTTCTGTCCAATTCCAATGATTTACTTCTGGTGCTAACTCTTCTCTTTTGTTATATATTTGACTTTGGATGACTAGTAAGAGTCTTAGTCTTTTCTTCTTTTGGAATAATGTGTGCTATATCGAATGTAGGCACCAAGAAGCTCCCGTGCAAGTTTAGTTAAAGGACGATCCCATGTTAATGATGCTGCCCAACAAGCTCTGATTGGTCACTGGCAGAGAATTGTAAAAAGTCTAGACAACAACATGAAGATAATAAAAGCAAACTATGTGCGATATGAAATTCACATAGATGAGAAAAAAGCTATCTATATTGTTGTTTCATTACAAATGATTTATATAGTTTTGTCCTTGTAGGTTCCTCCCTTCTTGATTAGGAAGGTCTTTAACCAAATATTCTCATTTATCAATGTTCAACTTTTCAACAGGTAATTCTATACTTCAGTCTTTAGAAGAATGATATAATCAGCCTTATATCATTCAATGAATGTTAACGCATCAGCACTCACATTTTCTGTTATCTTTCTTTTATTCAATTTTCAGTCTCCTTTTGAGACGCGAGTGTTGCTCATTCAGTAATGGGGAGTACGTAAAATCTGGGTTAGCCGAATTGACGAAGTGGTGCAACTATGCAACAGAAGAAGTAAGCATCATTAAAGATTTTGATTTTATTATTCCCCACTTCCATTTTAGTATCTTACTTTAGTAATGTTTTTCTGTTCTCTTAGTATGTAGGCTTGGCATGGGATGAATTGAAGCATATCAGAGAGGCTGTTGGGTTCCTCGTAAGAATTAGAACTGGTGCCTGATGAAATTAACCAATCATGGTACCGGCCACACAATTTTGTTGACCAATGACCATATATTTTCTTAACTTTCTTGCAGGTTGTACACCAGAAGCCCAAAAAGACCTTGCATGAAATAACAACCGAACTTTGTCCTGTAAGGATCTTTCCCTATTTGCTTTTTTCCTCCTTTTTTAGTTCCCCCGCCCCACCTTTCAACATTGGAGTATTCCGTTTCTTCTTTTTCATTGTTTTGTTTCTTTCCTGCTTAACCTCTAGTTTTCATGGTTACCATTTCAGGTACTCAGCATACAACAACTGTATAGGATCAGTACAATGTATTGGGATGACAAGTATGGAACACGTAGCGTTTCTTCAGATGTAAGTATCCCTTTATCTTGTATCATTCATTCACATAAACCTATAATTCCAATCATGTTTATATGCCATTTTCTAATCGAATATAGGTCATATCAAGAATGAAAGCTTTGATGGCTGAGGACTCTAACAATGCTGTCAGTAGTTCATTTCTGTTGGACGACGATTCAAGGTAAGTTTTCTGGATAAGATTAAGTCTGTGTCACATATCAGTCATTGTGTCATACCATTCATTATTTTGTTGCAGCATTCCCTTCTCTGTGGATGACATATCCAAATCGATACAAGTAGACGTTGGTGAAGTTGAGCCCCCACCTTTAATTCGCGAAAATGCAGGATTCATATTCTTGCATCAACGCTCTGGCTGAAACAAAACAAATACACCAATCATCAAGTAACATGCAAAAACTTGTGCATATACATCCATCGCGTTTGCATATATAATGCATGTACATGTATTAATATTTGCTCCAACAACTCTCATTCTCAGTTTGATTATTTTTTTTATTTTTTATGAGTTATACTACCGTTATTCTCTCTTCCTGCCTTTTTTATTTTTATTTTATTTTATTTTTTTTATTTTATGTTGATGACTGATTGTCCCAGAAAAAGAAAAAAAAAAAAAAGTGGTAATTACAGGAGTTATACTCTGAGGAGTACACCAAGCACTTTTGTCTTTTCAACCGAGAGGGGGTGTACTTCTTGGTCATAAGGCTAGTAGTGTTGATCACATGTAGGTACAAGAAATGGCATAAATTTTGATTGGTTTTTGTTAATTCTTTGTTGTAAATCTCAGCAGAGTAGCTTCTCTTAGTGTGAATGGGAAGTGTTCTGATATTTTGGTTGTAAATTTAGATTCATCATTTTTTTTTTTTGTACAAGATAAGTACATTTTTTTTTTTTTTAATACAAATCCAAAATTAACTAGGCAAAAGCCTTGCCTCTTGGTGATAATTACCAGGATCCATCATGTATTCATGTACCGCAAATTATTCTGTGAACCTGTGAATCTGGGTCCAAATATTCATAATTACCTTTTAAAAATTTATAATTTGTATACTGTAATTCTGTGAATACACAATATTAACATATATGTAATTGATTACCTTGTTTTGTATTCACGAGTTCTTTTTAAATACTGCAGTCACACAATACTAACAGATTAGGATTTGATGACCCTGACAAATGTAATATGTTTTAATTTAGAAATACAATTTATATTTAAAAGTTCACAATTTCAATACTAAAAATACATAATTTATACGTCGTTTAGGACCAGTTGTTTTACCATGATCCATGGTATAACAACTCATCATGGACATTGTAAACTATGAACTAGATTATATACTTACAGTCAAGTACTTTTTATTAAGATTATGTACTTAATGAGGTACAAAATATGCTAATTGCATCTACATCACGTTATAACCATTGTTGAAAAATTAATGAAACCAGTTCAGTCACCATTTGATAATTATACATAGTTACATTTGTGTAAAACCGTTTCATGAATCCTTATCCATGAAATGAATCGGACCAATATGAAAATGTAATATTTGTAATAAAAAATGTAATACTAACAAGGAATAAAGTATTTGTTATTTATAAAAGAAAGTGTAAAAACATTACGTTTTTATCAAAAATATTACCCTTCACTATAAATAAAGTAACAAGTGTTTGTTACTTTAGAAAAATATAATACCCAGACACGGATTGTGAAACAGACATACAAACGTTTTTGCCTTATAGAGAATATATGGCATCACAAGATGTATTGTCCAAATATTATTATAATTTTTTTTTTGAAAAAAAAAACTAATTTTTTTAAGCTCTCTAAAAACTAAATTTAGCCTTTTACCTACTTGGTATAAACAATCACACAGTAGTTGCTGATATTATATACACAATCTGTCTATCAACTTGTTATAGATATAAAACACATCAACTCATTTTCTACACTTCTGCCAATAATTTCTTGTATCTTTTGAACTCAACAAAAGTAGAAATTCCATTCATTTGTAGGCAGAATTGAAAGTGTAAAAACTACAGTAAGTTATAAGCCTGCAGATATCACAACAGGGGGGGGGTGACTGTTTCCTCAAGAATCTCACGCCATCTACTCCGTAAAAACAGTCTCAGACTCGAAGCTTACTTTTCTCGCGCTATCTGGGGAGATAGAGCTATCCGGGGAGATAGCGCTATCCGGGGTAGCAGTCTGATATTCCGATGATGTTGGCGTGAGTTGCATCTCCGATTTCTTCTTCTCCTTGAGGATCGCCTGTCTTGGCATCACTTCCACCAAGAAGTTCCCCCCGTTCCACGTTGCTGCAGAGATCTTGAGTATTTGGAATACAACGTGGAGCTCGTAAGACAGAAAGATGGGCACTGCAAGTGCTGTGGTTGCCATGGTGAATAGAGCCTGCAGAAGAATGTACATGAACAAGCGGTTTTGGTCACCGAGCAACCCGCTTAGACGCCACCATACGTTGTTTGCTTTCTGGGCTTTTTTCGATAGTTCCCTGAGGACCAAGAAAGAAGAATAAGAATAACAACAATGCACTAACATAACAGTAGAAGGAAATTAAGATGGGGATAGGGTCACTCAATTGAGCTATAATGCACATGGGCCAAACCACACTAAAAGATTGAATCCAACTAACTAGTTAGTCAGCCTAGTCTAACCCCTTATAAACAGATATATTCTCTCTTATTTTATCAATGTGAGACTCTTAACAAAGGGTAAAAGAATCAACCTATAAGAAGTCATGACCTCGGGATCTCTTAAGAATCTTTGGCGGCGTAACACATCCACGATGAGGAAATAGAGAATCTGCCAGAGAGTGTATGATATTAAGGGGACGAAAAACAGCCATGTCCAGAGGTATGATTTGCTTTCTGCGTAAGGCCACGAAGCTCTACGTTCATTTCCTTCGGGATGCATGGCTCCGAAATACTCAGGAATCCACCATCGAATTGTGAAGAAAACCAACCCTGAAAATCGGATAAAACATTAGAGGGATCTAAATCAGTTTATGGCACTATGGCAGACCAATAATTATAAGAACATTCAGCAACCGAGCCCATTTACTACACGCAAAAATAGAGTGCACAAACAGATGCAGATTGTTATAAACTAATGTTGGGCTAGGGTCACTCAACTGGGCTATAATACACATAGGCCAAACCACACTAAAAGATTGAATCCAATCAATTAGCTAGTCTAACTCATGGCCTTATAAATCCATATGTTCTCTCTTATTTTATCAATGTGGAACTCTTAACACAAATCATAGGGCAAATCAACGCCCAATTATAGAAGTAAGCATGTTATTCGTCTTCACATTCCAATACCCAATGATACCGCATTTCTCCACATCTCGATGAAGGAAATAAGTAAATAACAAAAACAACAAGAAGACACTATATATGTATAGTAGTTTTAATGATGCTTACGGTCTTCTAGTACAATGACATCAACTTGAAACTCTATAAAAGCATGTCATGGACACAGTCCCCAACTCCTCAAATAACGCAAAAGAAAGTAGTTTTCTAATGGTAAGAGGTCGAAAAGAGATATTAATGTGCTCTTCTTTGTATTCATTGTAAGAGTTCTCAATTGGGACCGACATTAAATTTCTTACCAGGTAAAAGATGTATGAAGACACTAACAATTTTGTCAGCAGAACTAAAAACCAAGCTACAACGCCAAACAATTAATGCCCATGCTAGAGGACCCTGCATTCGAGTAATCAAGCGAGTTAGTGCAGAGACAGAATCAAGTCCGGTTCACGTGCATTCGGGTTAAGAAGCCAACCTCTGCAAATGAGAAACAAACCATGAAAAGCTTTTCATTTTTCGGATAGAAGAGAATCGTGATTATGGAAATCGTATTAGCATAATAGCAAAAATCCTGCACAACAAATAGAAAAGATTAAGAGATTCCCATTCTCCCTCTCTTCCCCAAGATAAGAAATGGTGAAACTTAATCTACCGAACCAAAAGATTGAAAAGTCGGGTGAATTAGAGCTCACCAAAAGATAGTAATGCCATTTCTTATATCGGTAGTAAATCCATCGAAGAGGAACAAAGGTGAAGTAGAACAGACAGTATACGTAAGGAATATCTTGTGGCCCTGACAAATTAACCAATGGATGAAGACATCAAAAACAAGCTCAATCAACAAGAACTTAACGGAAATAAATTCGCAAGATAAACACTACTAGTAATTCCACTTACTTGCACCTAAAAGAAAGCAAAATCCCCCAAACCAAAGAACACCAAGCAGATGAGTCACCTGTTCATGAGTTCATCACCACAAGTCCCATCAATATACATTTGGAAACCCATTCTTATTTTCATCCAGAAAGATTAACAAACACAGAGTTCCAGGCTATCTCTAAACCACCATTATACAATCAAAATATACATTCAATTCAACCCGGGGGCAACACAAGTGGCCTATTGGCCTTCTTGGTTTGACTTGGTCAGCTATGAACAACCAAAGTTGATTTACCCCTTGTTGTCTTTGACAGTTAGGGTCATAAGGCAGGACTTAACTAGTACACACCCTTGGATAGTGACTATGGGTTTTCGCCATAACTCAATATATATATATATATATATATATATACATTCAATCCAATTATTAACACATACTCAGCTTCATTGGGCAGGTAAGTATATGTAGTAAGATTTAAACATCCATATCCACAGATGAAGCAAAGGCATGAAAACTGAAAACTGGCATATAAACATAAAACTCTCCATATAGATTTGTGCTGTCTCTCTATGAATAATTGATTAACATACCTTGGTGAGGAAGGTTTCATGTACTTCAGCCCGTTTGGCAATCTTATCTGCATGCTCCGACAAGATCTGCTTCGTCTTCTCCTTGGTTTCGGCCATTTTCTACAGAAACCAAACACACTATAACAAATAAAAACCCAAACTCAAAAAGTTAAAATTAAAACCAAAACCCATAAAAGAATAGAATAAATTGCATTCATATATCCGAACGTAAGAGGCAAAAGTTGTCACCTTTGATCGATTTTTGAGCCTCTGTCTGACTTTGTCGAACGAATCTCCATTAGTATACTCGATGAGGTCTTCGCAGCTCGACATTTTTACAACGGTGGCGGTGGCGGTTTCGTATTGGAATTGAATGAAATGGTCGGTTCTAGACTTCTCTTCTCCGCGGCTTTTTTCCGGTCTTTCGTATATGGAGCGTAAAGTAATTATTAACGTTAATCTGTGTGTAATCTCAATTAGGCGTTGATTGAAAAGGAAAACATGTTGCTTGCTGCTGTATGGTCTCTGACCTATGGGATTTTACGCAGTTTTTGTTAAACTGTAATTATCATCCTAGCTTGTAAGTTGTAATTAAATACTTTTAAAAAAAAAAAAAAACTGTAATTAAATAGTTCTATTTAATGATGTTTTTCTCTTTCGGTCGCAAATTATAGAAAGTGTCAAATCTGCAGTCTAGATCTAGAGTTATCCATAGTTCCATACCAATTGTTTTTTTTTTTTTTTTTTGAAAACTCCATACCAATTGTTTAATCTAGTTTTTGTTTTTAGGTGGGTTGGATTGTGACTTAGCATATCCCCCCAACCTTTTGTTGGCTTGCAAGTGGCAAAGCTCTAATATCCAATTCAAACTCTGTATTTTTAAATACTCATAATTCTTTACAAATAGTATCTGTTACAATTTCAATCTAAAAAATTTAAGCTTCTATCATTGGAATTCGAATGTATGACCACCCGTTTAGAATGATAATCGGAATGCCATCATACTATAAAATAGTTGGCTCAAAAGATGTATTTTATTTCAATTATAAGTTTAAAATAATAGTTGAATTACACATTTATATATATATATATATATATATATATATATATATATATATATATATATATATATATATATATATATATAGATATAGATACGTGTGTGCTCAGATGCGGAAATCTGTGTGCACGCACAACACTATAAAATTCAAAGAAGTGCCTATGTCACTATTAGCCTGTAGGGTTAGTAAATATATACATGCGTGCACATTGGTGTTAAAATGTGTGCGTGGTTAGCTAAATAAATTTCAACCATGGACATTAACTAAATCAATTTTACATAAGTGACTATTGGACGATTAACTTGTAGGCTTAGTTTATAAACACATGTGTGCACAATTGTGTTAACTGGGTGCATGGATAAAAATTAGATAAATTTCACAAAAGCGACTAGCTCAATATTGTCCTATACGCTTAGTTTTTAAATACATGAGTGCTCATTGGCTTTAATTATGTGCGCACACAACTAAATAAATTTCATCCATCGGTAAAAACTAAATAAATTTCACTAGCGTGAGTAGTTCACTATTAGCTTATAGGCTTAGTAATTACAAACGGGTGTGCACATTGGCGTCAAACAGTGTGCATAGCTCAACTAAATAAATGCCAACCATGGATAAAATTAAAAACAGACTAGTTCAATATTATCGTATGCGCTAATTTTTTAAATACGTGGGTGTACATTGACGTTAAATAGTATGCGTGCACAACTAAATACATTTCAACCATGGTAAAAACTAAATAAATTTCACAATATTGAGTACTTTAGTATTAGCTTATAGGCTTAGTAATAAAAAACGTGTGCACAATGTTGATAAACTGTGTGCATAACTCAACAAACTAACTACCAATGATGGGTAAAATTCAACTCCTTTCTGTATTCAACTTCAATTCCTTAATTATAGCATTAATATACAAAATAGAATTCATTATTCAAATCCTGTCAGTATTCAACTTCCTTAATTATAGAATTAATATACAAAATAGAATTCGTTCCTTATTTACATTGTGGGTGCATTCACATTATTGCCCTTCATTTAAGTAATTAACAATCCGTGTGTCAGAATTAAGACTCCATCTAATCCATTCATCTTATCACATCCTATGGCTAGATGTTATCTACACGTTTGTATTTTAAGGGGGTTTGCATGTGAATGCAACCCTATATATATATATATATATATAGTGAAAGGTTCCCGTGGGGTTGTGCGAATGATTAATGTGCGTGAGATTTGTACTCAATGTGCGTGAGTGTTGTACTTAATGTGCCTGAGATTTGTACTTAATGTGTGTGAATGTGTAAAATGCAGCAGAAAATATGGATGTCAGCTTCTTCTCCATCCCCAGTAGCCATTGCCCCCTCCCTGATGATGATGATGCGGAGGCGGCTATGGTGGTTAAGAATTATGGGAATAATACAACAGAAATTCACACTTAGTTGGTGTGCAAATTTTGCTGTGCGTGCGTCATCTATATAAACATTCAACTGCACTGAAGGTATCTGATAATCCAGAATCCATGGCCAAATTGAAGGAAGAAGTAACAAGAAGCTTGGGCGTTAATGTGCCTGAGTTTTTTGTTATGCTTCCTTCTGAGCTCGTAATTCTGAACTACTCACGCACATTTAGTCCAATACTCAGGCACATTAAGTACAAAACTCACGCATATTAATATGACGCACATTAAGTGCAAATCTCAGGCACATTAAGTACAAATTTCACGCACATTTAAGTATAAATCTCACGCACATTAATCTACCTCACATCCGCACGGGAAGCCACAAATGCACCTGATCCCTCCTATATATATATATATATATATATATATATATATATATATAACATATATTTTAGTGTATATATGTCTTGTGTTGTACGGCGTAATTTCTTTGTATTATGTTAAAAATTTTGTATCATAAGTATATGAATTTTGTACTTTATTATTTTGATTTAGGTTCATAATGCTATGTAAATCTGGTCAATAATATAAACTGCATATATACGGCACGTCGGTACATATGTCTGGACTTAACGAGTGGCACGTTTATACGTTACGTATGATCCACGTATTCATCCATCACCCTAAAGGGCTAAAGGGACACATTTATGCAAAATTTTAAGTAGTGGTCTACATTTCTTTTTCTTTTTCTTTTTAAATAATCACATAAATTATACTCCGTAAAAATTACCCTCCACTTTTAATTTATGTGTTTGATTTAGTTTGCGGAATTCTTTATAATATAGTATATGGGTTCAACCATATTCAATCTTATAACCATCTATTTGAAATGATAACAGATGTATCATCACACTATTAGTAATTTATAATTTTTTGTCATATTTAGTTTAATATATAATTACAATTTACTTTAAAAGTACTAACATAAAATGTTGATTTTAGAAATGAACAAAAAAAGTATTTTTAAAAAGTAAAGAAGAAATAATTTGTTTGATCAATAAATAATAAATTAAACCTGACAAGTAAAAGGGAATAAGAGTAAAAAAAAAAACCCAATAAGGAGTAAATGATGCATTTAGAATATTGCAAATTCATCTTTCAGTTGGAGCAGTTTGTGTGAGACTCAAGACAACATTTGAAGAAATACGTACAAGATGGAGAGTTGGAGATGGCAGACAAATATCCATGATGGATATATTACGACCGGAGCAAGACCCGGAGTCCTGACCCGTGGGCCTCGGCCGGACCTCGGCCCATAGGACCTCTTCTCATGGGACCTCGGCCTGAACAGGGTGCCGACCCAGGGGAGGTCGGCGGAGCAAGGTGCCGACCCGGGGGAGGTCGGCGGAGCAAGGTGTCGACCCTGGGGGGAGGGGGGTCAGCTAGGGAGAGGTCGGCCATTGACAAGCCGACCTGGAACCGGTCAAGAGGACGCGGTCAACGCGGATCTAACCACCCCCCACCTTAGGGGGTGGCGGTTAGGGGTGGGGGTTGTATAAAAACCTCTCACCTTGTCTCTTTAGGACTTCTAACATTCATTCTACACACTTTGTCCTAAAATACTATTGTAATAGCTAATTCTACGGCATTTAAATATACGGTCTCACGGCCTTTACGACATCATTCTATATTATTTATTTATTATTCGTATCACGTTCTTATTCGAATTTATTGATTCGGGTCCACCCCGGGTTAATTAAATCCATCAATCCATATGGAAAGATATGTGACTTTCTCACCAAACAAATCCTATGGTGGAAAATGGAAACCAATTATGGGATCATTTGTACACTTCATTTATGTTTATTTTTCTGTTATATTTTTCAATACATTATGTTATAATGAGTTGTACTATACAATGTTTTGGACAAGCATACACTTACGGACCGTTATACTTTTCATTATATTTTTCACTATTGCATTCACCATATATTTTCTTATTTTCTTCTTCTTTTTCAATAATAATAATAATAATAATAATAATAATAATAATAATAATAATATATACACATTATATATTGGAGTTATATCTTAATCATTTCTTAAAATAAAAAATTAAATTTATAAAAATATTTTACATTATTATTATTATTTACAATAATATAAATATCTAAAATCTAAATAAATTTACAATTTTAATATAAAATACTAATATTGAGCACCTATTTTTTTGCATCGCGCATAAAAAATACTAGTAAATCAAATAAGTTCTGAAAAAATCAATTCTACATTTGTACTTTCAAACTAAGTTGCATACTCGGTACTAGTTATTGAACTTTCTTTTTTAAAAAAAAAAAAAATACAATTATAATATTTTTACCTGTAAATTACTTGCTATTACAGGTAATGTTGGTGTTGATGTGACTTTCAAGTTTTTTTTTTTTTTTTTTTTTTTTTTTTTTTTTTTTTTTTGTATACATGGATAATGCATAGACTATTTTAAATTTAAAAAAAAAACATTTTTTTAACAGTAAAAATATATATTGAGAGAGATGAAACATGCTTAGGTTGGGCCTAGTCTTTGAACAAAGATTGATCCCATATCTAAACGGCCCATATGATTACCTTGAATTCCACTCGGCCCAAACTGGAATCTTACCAATGGTCCACATGTGGACCATATTTTGTATATACTATAAAATAATATATATTTAATACACTAATAATGTATTTTTAGTATATTAAAAATGTACTTTGTTTTCAGAATAAGTATATTATTTAAATACTAAATATATATTATTTTATATAATATACATTCAGTACACAAATAATATATTTTTAGTATATTAAAAATATACTTTCTTTTATGGTCCATACAACCTTACGTGGACTATAGACCCTTAGACTTGATGAGTTGATTTGAAAGTTGAAACTCATTATTAAACAATGGGGTACAGTTTTTCCCATATTAGATCAATTTCATCATATCACCTTATGATGAAGCGATATAGAATTTAGTTCAAAAAACAGTTCCATTATGAAATTCAATATATACATATATTTAAGCAAATTAATAATAAAAGAGGGGCTAGAAGTTGAGAAGTAAAAGCTAGCTAGGGAGGGCATAAATAAAAATAGAGCCAAAATAATTGCATGCAGAAGAGAAACAAAAGTTGGCCTGGCAAATTGAGAGGCATCACGTCGAGTTGAGAGGAGAATTGAAAGAGAGTACGTGTGACCAAAAAATAATTGAGATGGGATATGATGGGAATGCTTCCAACGAATAAATAATTAAACATTATCGTGGGCGTGCAATTATAGAAGGGCGTTTTGTGGGAGAAGGCGATCAACTTATTGACAGTCATCAATTATTAGTATTTGACTTAACTTCTCAGAATTTAATCGAATGTTTGTCGAGGTTAGATGAAATCCTAATTGACCTGCAATTACATGTCACCACACATGTTAGTAGGTTTAATTGCTTCAGTTCAAAATAATATGTTTGTAAGTTTAATTACAACTTCTAAAAATTTAAAAGTCTAATTGACTTTTTGAGTGAAGTTTAAGGGCTTATTTAACCCTTTTTTCTAATACTTTTAATGTAATTTTTAAATATACAAATTTTATATACTAATATATATTAAGCTTAATATTATGAAAAATTTAACTCAACATAACTTCAGTCAAATCATCTTGTTAACTGAATCAGACACATAAAATGAAGTAAAGGGTACATATTTATACTCTATGTATTTAGGCCAAAACGATGTGTTGGTGGTGAAATAATGTATGTTTGGATGATATGTATAATGTACTTAGTCTAAAACTATATATATATATATATATATATATATATATATATATATATATATATATAAAGTATACGGTATCGCTTGAATCGGGTACAAATCTAAAATTTTATATAAGGTTAAGATTTTAAATTTGTCCCTACAATACCAATATATATAAACTCAAAGTCTTCTCTAAATTATATTCCGTATATATAAAATATAGACATGGACTCGCATACAATAAGATTTACATGCCCATCGCGTATAGTAAAAATTATTTAATTAATATTTAACATAATGAATTTGGTATACATGAATGTGTGGTGGTTGTTCTTTGCACCTAATACATACGTTAGTGTGTAACGTGCATGTAGGCACGACACACTACACATGTTACAATTAATACGGAGTACTTGATAATTACATTTTCCTTTTACATCTTTTGGAGGGGAAATCTTAAGATTTACACTGGAAATTCTAATCGCCAAAGGGACGGGAGCATATATATATATATATATATATATATATATATATATATATATATATATCGTTGACAGAAGTCTTGTTGGTCTTCATGTAAAAAAACTTCGACCGAAACTGATGAGGAAGCTAAATTCAGGCATGTGTTTAGGGCCTACACGAATGATTTGGCAAGAGCATCCGTTGTCTTAGCTTGTTATGCTTCCGGTAAATGTCTTTTATTTGATTATTATATTTAGTTTTAACTTTTTTTTTGTTTTTTTTTTTAATCGAGTTAAGGGAAAATAAAAAATAAAAAACACACGAACATTCAAAATATGCACCTTTCCTGGACATGAAACCCCATCCGATAAGCCTTTGAAGATTTAGGGACTTGTAAGCTGGTTAAGGCATATCTATAATTTATCTCTTTCACTAGTCTTTAGACTCTTAATTTTTGGAGTTTAAACTTATGAAACATAATATATGACATTACTCAATAGATGTCTTAACTATAATTAATGAGATTTAAAAAGTTTTGATGAACTGTCGGATATATTGTTAAGCATTGAATTGCCGATAATAATAACTTCAAGCACGATTTTTTTTTTTTTTTTTTTTTTGAAGATAGAAAAGGCATATTATTATTTGCTCAAAAGGGAGCTTCAAGCACGATTTGTTGGTTCTTTATTTGCATTTAATCATAGATTATTATGAATAGATAAATCATTAAAATTAAATATGCTAAAAGCAAGTATCAGAACGTAGTTTAAATAGAATATAAAACAAAAATATAAAAGTTGGACCATTTTATTAGTTAATCAACTTCCAATGCCATGAAAATTGTGATAATTAATGTTGCATAATATATAATATTGTAATTATATTTTAAATACCTTTAATTTACAACTAAAAAAATAACAAAATTTTGAAACATGAGAGTTTAGATTAACTGAAAGTCCGGAAATATTACATTTTTCAAAAAATACGCATAATATTTTGTTTTTTTGGTGATGAAAGAAATTTTCAATCACTCCATGATAAGGTATACATAATAAATTCTACCCATGTATAATAGTTACCGTTTTTTAGATAATTTTCAACAACATAGTTTAAATTGAGAATAAATTATCAGTTATATCATTTCACTTTTATATATAATCTTCAATATGTTCCTTCATAAGATCAAGTTTCAATTGAATGGTATATAAAGATGGGATTCATAATAATAGCAAGACTGAATTGAGTTTGAAGTTTTGTCCCCACTCTCTAATAAGCCTATTTGAGATTGAAACTTTCACATCCAAATATCAAACTTAGTGTGAATGAGAGTGTAAAAATGGGACCAACTGAGCTGCCTATGTAGACTTTAAATTAAAACATATAAAACAAGGTGTGAAATATATGTTGACTTCACACTTTCTCTTTCAATTCGTATCTTCACATCGTTTTTTCGTTTACGTGGATGAGACTTCTCCCTTCAAAACTCACATTAGAGATGCCTTAATAATGGAGAACGGATATACGAGTTTCATTATGAAACGATAACAGTTACTTTGACCGTTAAATTATGATCAATTTATTACATGATATTTTTGAATTAAAATAAATGATATAAAAGTGTGAAAATCGAAAATAACTTTACAATTCTAATTACTCGATCAATTTGGTTGGATTCTCAATATACTTGAATCTCTATTTTTATTTTTATTTTTTTGAAAACAATCTCTAATCTTATGACTTGTCAATCTTAGCAAGTCATCAATTATATAATTGCCATTTGGATAAGAACTAAATGAAGAAAAAGAAAACCCGGCGCAAAACGCGAAGTATACAAAAATGGGAGGTCGAATATGCAAATTAATAAAATATAGAAAAAGATAAAAAGAATACTTGAGTTTTAAACTTCGAACTCTTCTCCAGAGAGAGAGAGAGAGAGAGAGAGAGAGAGAGAGAGAGAGTTATTGGAAGCAAGGAAGGCTGGCTTCGAACTCCGCTTACTCTACTTGTAAGAAAATTCATTCCCGTTCTTCATCTTCTTCTTCCAATTCTCTACCATCTTCATCGACACGTTTTTTAAACGAAATTTACGTTGGTACATATAATAATAATTCATATATGACGATGATGATCAGAAGCGGGAGGACTGTCGTTTTTGCATAGATGATAAAACCGAGAATTAACTCACGTTTCGTTTATTGTTTATTAGAAAACGTAATCTTGTTCCGCAAGAAAAGCATCAAATTAAACTCCCGTTTTTCCTTGATTTTGTAGCAGTTTTGGATCATCTGAAATGCGTTATTGCTAATATGTGTGATTTTGGGCGGTGTTGATGATTGGAAAGTTGTGTTGTTTTGCAGGGTTTAGAGGGGAAGGATGTTGTCGAAATCGGAATCTCGGAGGAAAATTGGTGAAAATTCAGGGCATGGGAAGCTATTAAGTGATATTGAATCGCTTAGTAAAGCCCTGCATTTGGACAGAACCACGCCGAGGAGTTTAATGTCAACAGTAAGCAGTCGTTCAAAGGCTGTTGGGAAATCAAATTCTGCAGAAACAAAATCGAAAGTTGTGAGGAAGGATTTGGCAGAAGAGAAGGAGAGTAAGAAGTCTGGTTGGGGTTGGAAGGGGTTGAAGGCCTTATCTCATGTACCAAACCGGAGGTTCAACTGTTGTTTCACCCTGCAAGTCCACTGTGTTGAAGGGCTGCCTCCATTGTTTGATGATCTTAGTCTGATTGTGCATTGGAGAAGGCGGGATGCGGAGTTGAGTACTAAATCAGTGACAGTTGTTGAAGGGGTAGCTGAGTTTGAACAAGAGTTGAAGCATTCATGTTCTGTGTATGGCAGTGGGAATGGACCATACCATTCTGCAAAGTATGAGGCCAAGCATTTCTTGTTGTATGTATCGATATATGGTGTTCCCGAGCTTGATTTGGGGAAGCATAGGGTGGATCTTACCAGGTTGCTTCCTCTTGCATTGGAGGAATTGGAGGGTGAGAAGAGCTCTGGTAAGTGGACAACCACTTATAGGCTATCAGGGAAGGCTAAGGGTGCTTCATTGAATGTCAGTTTTGGGTATGATGTTCTTCAGGACAATCCTATAGGGCTTCCTAGCAAGAAGAATGTGATTGAGGGGCAGAATAGGGGAAGTGCAGTGAGGCGGTTAGGACAGTACGAGCAGGCCATAGTGAGGCATGCAGGAAGCCTTCCTTCAAAGTCATCTGTTTCGAAGCGAAGCCTTGCTGCAAGGTTTGCTGCTGAGTCAAGTTTGGCTTTGAAATCCATAAAAGATGTTCACGAGGCTTCACCAGTGCCAAGGTTGGAATTTTCTGAATCAGTTAATGTGCTCTACCAAAAACTTGAGGAAGAGAAGTTGGGCGTGCCTACTGGTCCTAATATCTCTGATAATGTTGAAAGTTCAAAACCAGATTCAAACTTGCCATCCGAGGTTGGAATGGGAAATGCTGCAGATGAGTGTGAAATTGTTGAGTTTTCTGTCATAGAGAAAGGCATAGAACTGTCTTCAAAGGAACAGGAGAAAACAGGTGTTGATGCCATCGGGAATTCTCATGATTCTGTAGAGGGTTGTATTGTACCTGTCAATGCGTTTGGCATACCCCCCAACTCAGAGTTGCAGGTTCAATCCATGACCAGGGAAATTGGTGGTAACAAAGAGGATGATCAGGTAAATGACTTTGACTTTAAGGAGAAAGATGACTCCACCAAAGAATCAATCATGAAAGAATTGGATTCTGTGTTGGAGGTTGTCTCAAATCTGGCAAATGAAGGATTAGATTATCCAGATGATGAAAGAGAAGTTATAAATGAAGATAGTTGTGTGAGTACTAAGGAAAGTTATACAAAGGTTAGGAAAGGGAATTCCCTAGGTCCGGATGATGCATATGGGGCTGGTGACTTTTTGGATATGCTTGGGATAGAACATAGTCCATTTGGCTTGAGTTCTGAAAGTGAGCCCGATTCACCAAGAGAGCGCCTATTGAGGCAGTTCGAGAAGGATGCTTTGGTCAATGGTCATTCCTTGTTGAACTTTGATACGGACACAGATCCCTGCTTAAGTGTTTGTGATGCTTTAAATGATCCAGATTGCAGTAACAGTTCCAAGGACTTTGATTACACATCTGTGACCGAGTCTTCTAAGATGATTCCCGGGATAAAAATAGAAGACACCAGGAATAAAACAACTGCCTCTATGTTGGAGGACTTGGAAACAGAGGTTCTGATGCAGGAACTGGGCTTGAATGAAAGGGCATTTCATTATTCTCCTAGCTCGAGCAGGTTTGGCAGCCCAATTGATTTGCCTCCTGAGGATCTCGATCACTTACCACCTCCTCTTGGAGAAGGATTAGGCTCCCTTGTTCAGACCAAAAATGGAGGCTTCTTGCGCTCAATGAATCCTGCACTTTTCCAGAATGCAAAAAGTGGTGGGAAATTGATTTTGCAGGTTTCTAGTCCAGTAGTTGTGCCGGCAGAAATGGGATCTGGTGTCATGGATATATTGCAGCATTTAGCTTCTATTGGCATTGAAAAGTTTTCTATGCAAGCCAACAAGTTAATGCCATTGGAAGATATAACGGGGAAGACAATGCAACAAATTGCATGGGAAGCTGTACCCTCCTTGGAGGGACCTGAGAGGTTTGTGGTGCTTTAACTTCTCCTGCAAATGCAAAAATATTTGCTTCTATTCATATTGTTCTGAAATTAACTTCTGCTGTTGCAGGCACGGTAAGTTGCCCCGAGAATTTGAGGTTGTAGAAAACATGTCAGGTTTTCCAGATACGCTTCAAGGCAAGTCACGTGGACTCAAGCCTAGTAAGCTTGAGTCTAGTTCCACTGGCACTCGACGTGATTCAGAATATGTATCCTTAGAAGATCTTGCCCCTTTGGCAATGGATAAAATTGAATCTCTTTCAATTGAGGGGTTGAGAATACAATCAGGCATGTCAGACGAGGACACGCCTTCAAACATAAGTCCACAATCGGTCGGTGAATCTTCAGCCTCTGAAGGAAAGACAGTAATTTTTGGTGGATCCAAGGGCCTGGAAGGAACTGGTGGGTTACAGCTGATGAACATTAAAGACAATGGTGATGAAGTTGATGGGTTGATGGGACTGTGTCTATCACTTGACGAATGGATGAAGCTAGATTCTGGCGAAATTGATTATGAAGATGGGATTAGTGAACGAACATGTAAACTACTTTCTGCACACCATGCCAAGCGCGCAGACTTGAGTAAAGGAAGATCACGGTGTGGTTTGTTGAGCAACAACTTCACGGTTGCATTGATGGTGCAGCTTCATGATCCTTTAAGGAACTTCGAGCCAGTCGGTGCACCAATGCTCAGTCTGGTTCAGGTAGAGAGAGTATTCATTCCCCCCAAACCAAAGATGTATAGCTCAGTTTTTGAAGTAAGATGCAACAGTGAAGAAGATGATGATTCTGAACCTGCTAAAAAGGATGAAATAATGGAAGAGCCAAAGGTGGAGAAGATAGCAGAGGAGGAATTAATCTCTCAGTACAAAATCACTGAAGTCCATGTTGCAGGCTTGAAGACTGACCAAGGCAGGAAGAAACTATGGGGCTCCAAAACTCAGCAGCAGACTGGTTCCCGTTGGCTGCTTGCCAACGGAATGGGGAAGAAGAACAAACACCCGCTTATGAAGTCGAAAGGCAGCAATAATTCTTCATTGCCAGCTTCCTCAACACCAGACACAACCACAGTGCAGCCCGGTGAAACTCTTTGGAGCATCTCCTCCCGCGTTCATGGAACAGGAGCTAAATGGAAAGAGCTGGCCGCATTAAATCCTCATATTCGGAACCCAAATGTCATCTTCCCAAATGAAACCGTCAAATTGAGGTAGCACAGCACAGGTCTGATCATTTTTTCATGAATAAACTTTGTCTGCAATGCCTCTTCCAAGCTGTATGGAATGTCCAATAATAGGTGAGAGTGAAAGTTCTATGGCTTTCAAGTTCAACAATATAATGTTGAGGTGTTATGCATGGTGCCTATGGGGCAAACTAATACCACCATAAGTGCAGGCAGGATCAGATAGAGAGTATTGTGTCGCTAGTCTAGACTCTAGAGAGAATTTGTTGGTTTTTACGTTGTGAATAATAGAATGGTGAATGGTGATTGCATTGTGCACATCATGTAGAACTAGTTCCCGTTATCATTTTAACATGGATGAATATTTGTCTTCAACCGATCAGTACCCGGGGGGCTTATCTTTTTACTTTGTTGTGGCACTAAATCTACTCAGGAAGCATTATATCCTTAGTATGTATGGTGAGTTGACTAAACTTGTCAACCCTAACATGACAAGACAAGATCAGTTATTACAACTTTGTAAAAGTAGAACCCAACCTGGTCACATAAAACAAACATTGAGTGAAAATCTCAGTGCATGTAGAGCTGTCCAACCACAGTGGATGCTCCACTAATTCTCTCCTGTTAAAAGGTTTTGGTTAAAAGTGGATGGAATAACACCTACAAACAGGAGAACTATGCACTGAAGAGACTGCAAGTAGACATTTTGTGCAAAAAGTTTCAACTTTGCATAAATCAATCAGAATGTTGAACAGAAAAAGGGTACAACTCCCATTAATTGAACAGAAAAACATGACTCCAATTAACATAGACAGGCCTTGTCAGCACAGCTGTGTTCTGAACAAACAAATTCTGAACAGATATATCACACATGACATACATAAACCATATATAGTTCATGTACACAAATTTCAAGCCAATCAATGACAATGATATATGTGATATGATCTCAGTTAAGTGTTCCAAGTTTTCAATAATCACAAAAGGATGGTTCATGCATCCTTGCAACATTTAAGATCCCCCTGTAATATATATCAAATGGAAGTGAATTCAAATTAGGAAATAGTACATTATCCTGATAAACAAGAGTTATGGGCCGAAACTTCAATACACATGCCTAGCAGTTATGGGGGATGGCAGATGAGATGTTTAGGTGAGCCGAAATAAGACAATTACAGTTAAGTGAAGCGTAGCACTTGTAGGGAATATCAAGGCCGTGGCCTCTTGTTGCTGCATGATGGGCATTTGTACTGCTTTATGTGTTCAGCCCGGGCAGGGGTGATCTTCACACACTTGCCATGGAACCACCTCTCACATATGTCGCAGCAAATCCAGAATTCATCTGACGCGTAGTTCTCACCACAAGCTCCACACAAGGTATCACCGTGCTCGTCTTCTTCTTCATCAAATCCATCCTCCTCATCCTTTGCTTGGACTTTTGAGTACTTAACCTGAGATTCAAAACGATAGTATTTTCACATTCAAAATTGAGTCAATGATAGCATGCAAGGGCACCTGAAGAAAGGAACAAATTATTGTTCATGGTAAGTCAATACATTGTGGTATTCAAGTAGAATGTTTTAGAAGGCAAGATAAAACAGTAAATAAATGATGATTTCCAAGAACATCAAAAGAATTTCATCTAATTAAATGCAAGAAATACAGAGAATGCCTATTTACCGGTTTAGGATTTGACTTGGACTTGTTGTTGCTGCTATTATTTGTGACAGATGACTTTTCCTTTACTTGTTTTTTAGCAGCTCCAGTCACAACTTCAAAGATTGTAGGAAGATCATTTATCATATTGAAGAGGCGCTTCCTGCATGATAATGTCACAAACATTAGATGGGTTAAGCAAAATGCAGCAAGTTTTTCATATTCAGTCCATCAAACAGGCAGTTTTTTTAGAAGGCATAGGATCAGTTTGCACTCCATAAACATGAGCCACATGGCATCAGATAAAGTTCGATATCACACAAAGGCATGCCATCTCTAATGGGGCATTTCTTCAAAGTGAACTAATGAAGTGTAAATTTATATAAAAGAACAAACAAGCAAAATAATTTAAAAAAAGTGAAGGTGGGGGAAAGAAGGATGTGCACAAAAATTAATCAAGATTTATTTTTAAAAAACAAGGTTATTTAAAAATTAAGGAATTGATCATAATTTACCTGTCAGCTTTGTCAAAACCAAATCTTGCACCAAAATAGAAGGCAACTGAAAGTAGCCATGCATCGCTATGAACAGCAACGAGAGCCAACCAGTCCTTTTCTTGCATCCCATCTCTGGCAAAGTTGATACCTAATGCTGGTTCTGGAAGTTCAGGTGGGACCTCTTCAGCAGGTAAATTAACTTCCCACAGCTCACTTGGAAATCCATAGAGACAAAGATTCTCCTTCTCTGCAAGGTTAGCAAAGTTTTAATATTTAAATTTAGACATGATTGCCACAAACAAGAAAATCTCTCTCTCTCTCTCTCTCTCTCTCTCTCTCTCCCTCTATATATATATGACCCTAATGATTCAGACAGAAAGACCTTGTATAATTTTATACGTTGCCAGTTCCTAAAGTAGGGAAGTTCAAGCCTTCAAATTTGCTGGGATGCATGCAGAAACAAAGAGGAAAATCCTACTTCTATGGAGAACCAGACAACAGTTTTCTCACTGCTGAAAATGTAATGAAAATCAAGAGTTATAGTCGGTGTCACACCATTATATCTGCAGGGAACAGTGTACAGAGGTGAATCGCCTTCTCTCCCACAAGTTAGTAGCTTAACATTGATCACTTCAACTAAACTTTTGGAATTTAACTTGAGATTCCCTCAACTAAACTTTTGGAATTCAACTAAACTTTTGGAATGTTTTTACCCATTTCTTGGGACTGTTTTGAAAATTTCCACAGAGATAACAAAAAGTTTCAAAGATCAAATTTGACCCCTTTTGTTCTCCAAAATGTGGTGCAATTTGCAAAGAAAGTATAAATCATTCCATGAAGGAATCAATGCACTTTATGGAGGCTGCTAACCTAACTCATTTCACATGTAAGCTCCAGCATCTCCTCAGTGCTATTTTAACAAGATAATTATCCTATTCACCTAATAAAGACAAATTAATGATTGAAAGAAAGACCATATAAAAAAATCTGAGGCATCTGGTTGTACTCAGTAATGCAAGTCAAGAAAGAAACAGTCACGTAAAATCATGTGCAATGAATCTAGTCTACAAGGTAACATCACTTCCTTATAAAACTTTAGCAAGAAATTTAAAATAGATCTTAGCCTCGACCATGTGACGTGAACATAACCAATATTGTAAAACTCATCCTAGGCGGCCGCCTAGGTGCTAGGCACCCTAGGTCGAGTTGATTTTAGCTTTAATCACCATTTTATTTGGCTGTCCAACTAGTCGGTTAATCAGCCAACAAGTTGGACAAACGACCAACTCGCCCGCTTTTTTTTTTTTTTTTTTTTTTTTAATATGGTTGTTTCGCTCAAAACGATGTCGTTTTGAGTGAAAAAAAAAATAAAATAAAAATAAATAAATAAAAAGAGCAAAGTGAAAAATAAAGACTCAAAGCGAAGAAGAGGAAAAAAAGAATAACTGAAGACAAAGAAGCAAAAAATGAAGACTTGAAGAGCAGACAACTCAAAAGCAAAAAGGAGTAAATCAGAGACACCATTCCACCAACTGCCACTGTTGCTCGCCACTGCTTGTCGACACTCACTGACTCACACTGTCTCGAAGGTCAGACTCAATACCACCTTCGTCGCTTGTTGCTCCCATTGCTAGACTGAGGTCGCCGGCAAAGACAAGTCTGGCTTTTCCTTTTCCTTCCGACAAAGAAGAGCAGCAGAGAAGAGCAGGGCCACTAGCATTATTTTTCTTGCTTTGGTAGCCATGAAGTAGATGAAAGGCAAAAAACAATGTTTTTAAAATTTATTTATGTACCTAGGCGCCCAATGGGCGCCTAGTGCCTTCTACAACACTGAACATAATAACACACTTCTTTCTGAAGTTACAAACAGCTGAGGGTTGTGGTGTTTATATATACATCTACTACCTTAAAATAGAACTACAAAATATACTAAAAAGAAAACTTGCCACAAGCCAGTATCAATAACAATATGAGGAGGTGAAAACTCAGAACATGTAGAACACTAAACCCACATATATACTTATAATCTAACTCCAGAAGCTCATAAACAATACTAAACACTTTATTGAAACTGCCCATTATTACATAGGACAACACACAAATAAGCAAGGTCACCAAAAAACACTAATAACAGAAATCATGATCCAGTGAGAAAGGAAGATTCTACATAAACATCTATACCCATTCACAGATAGCTCCTTTTCTCACACATCTACAGAAACAGTGGTGAAGCATTGGATGCTATTGATCAAGCCAATCAAAAAGTTTGAAATTATAGCCAAGACAAAGGAGAAAGGAGAAAATTTAAAAGGAAAGTGGTCCATAATAAATTTCCAAATTTCGCCAGGCAAAAACTTGCTTTTCATTCAAACATACATAATTCAACTCCACATCTGAGTCTTCTAAACTGTGTAGTCCATGAGATTAAAAAAAAGCATCCGCACATCACGGTGTTTCAGAAAGATACAAACAAAGAAATGCAAAGTAGAGAAATTTGTGCAAACATTCTCTTGAAAACACATAAATTCAGTCGTATTTACATAGTACAGTAAACGAAAATGCATTGCCCCAAGTCGTAAAAGAGAAGATTAGGAAACAAAGATGTTTTACTAACCCGGGTCACACTGCTGATAAAAATCCTCGACATCTACAAAAGAGAAAAACCAAAATGAAAAAATCTTATCAGAAATGAGCAGCGATAAATCTCAGAAAAACCCCTAAAGACTCAAAATAAACGAGCCGGCAACGACACAGAGCATACACTGCGGCAAAATTCCAACTCCAAAATGTATTGAGATAAGTATAATATACACGTATAAATGTGTGTGTGTGTATATATAAGCATACCCGTAGTAAGGGCCTTGATCATTCCAGCACGGCGGCCCTTGTAATCCCTAAAGACCTCCTCTACCGTCCGAGGATTGTGCTGTGCGCCTCCGTCCATTGCCTTTCTTCCTCGGCTTCTCTCAACAACACACTCGGAAAACAAAGAAGAGAGAGAGAGAGAGAGAGAACACTGGTTCAGTGCTGTTTGCAAGAGCATTTTAATCAGGAAATGAAGCTAAAAATGGTGTTTTCGGAAAATGGGAGGGTGCATTTGCAATTGATTGAGTTTATAGGGGGTTTCACGCAAATGTATATAAATATAAGAGGCCGCAATAGAAACAGGAAGGGGGCAGAATGGAAAAATTTTTCGTTTGAAAATACTACATTCCTATGACTTGAATTGGCAGCGGGCCCCACCAAGCAATGCTGTACGGAAACCAACACGTGGAGACTCTTGATTGGGCTTCAACTGCTCTGGGGAATACAGCTAGTAGGATGGGGCAAAATGTGGAGAATTGCTATTGCCGGACTTGAGCTTCTCATTTTTTATTTTGTGAGTACTATGAGTTTGTTAAAGAATATTATATGGTGCTTGAACTCATGAACCCCTCTTATTTGGAGGAGTCACTTTATTAACAACTTGAGCTTTTTACTAGAAATTGTAGTTGTTTGAAAATGTTGAGGTCCAAAATTTGATAGAGAATAGAGCCGGGGGATGAGCTTCTATTTGCCCACAAAAGTCAGGATTGCCCGACAAGATAAATAATTCAGTGATCCATTTGGTGAAGAAATGGGTCAACTCTGATGCCTACAAGTAGTCTACCACATTATATGTAACTCACGCAATCTGCCACTCAAAAGATGATTTTCTCACTCTATTCCAAAATGTTAATGCAATAATCTCTCCCGCTAAACTTTTTTGTGAGGGGAAATGATAAATTTAATCTTAAAATTAATATATCGTGAATAATTTAAAAAATTAAAAATGTCAATGAATAGGATTCATGTCATGTTCATCACAGATATAAACCTTGAGGGATTATATTAGCTATAAGGCAGAAGGCATTGAGTTAAAAACAAATAGCAGCCACCAAGCTCTGCTCTGATGTTTCAGGTGTAAAGTGGAAGTCAAGTGTTGAGTCAAAACGTTCTGAAGTTTCTCTACATATAGATAATGAAGTGTTGCAAGCTAAATAACAGTTTGAGAAAATGAATGGGAAATGTTTTACTATGTTGTCCAAGAGAGCTATGAGGATCTTTAACCATAAGATATAGCAGATGTTAGTCTAATATGGGAAGATCATTAATAACCTTTCCCATCCTTCCTAAAATATATGCTTGCAGAAGAAATTTTTTGAACTTCTTGTCACTGATATATATATTTTTATATATATGATCTTGGATAACAATTGCTGGTTACACCTCACAAATGGCTGATTCTGATGTTTCATCGTGCTTCAAATTCAGAGGTTACTGCAAATAATATCAAAGGAGCAAATTAGATGTACACTCGTATTGTATCATATTCTAGTAACACAAATATCAGAAAGATTACCCAACAGAACTTATTTAGTTTTTACAAGCTCAATGATTAGGGAAACAATAAACTTTGGGATTACCGACTTCTTTGGAAAAATTAGATTTTACACAAGTTTTATGAGAGTTTTTAATCATAGAGAACTTCTTTCTCTTCTTCTTCTTTCTTCCAAAAAAGTTCCTGCAGTAATTTTCCTGTCAAATTCACCTTTCATCTATCAAAACATTAAATTTGGAATGGTATACTACACCACAACAATGGGAGTGTTAATTACACTTTTTGAATTAGTAACTTTTCTGGTATAGTGTGCATATAATCAATCATATTTCACTTCCTAGGGATTTTATCGATGTTTTATCCAATCGTTTCCATTGCCACTGCAAGAAATCATCTAGCAATGAGAAATTTCCTGTAGGAGTAGTTTTGACGTCTACAGTTTAATGAACTGAGTTTGTATGCATGAGCAATAAATCAATAATAGCTCCAGAAGGGGAACTGGAGAATAAAGGCTTGCAGCAATATATATGGGTGAGTAGATCCAATATCTTTCACTTACCATCACCTTCAACGGAAGAGTCTTCCTTCTTCGTTTCAGAATCCTTCTTCTCTGCAGCAGTTTGTTGCAAAAACTGCTGAACTGTTCTCCAATAGCGATCACCACCTGCCAACCATGTATCCATATGCATTCCGGTAGGAAATTCCACAAATAAGCATCGTTTGTTGCGTGCAGCAGCCTTAGCGTATAGCATCTCCATGTGTGACGGGGGGACCATTTCATCTTGTAATCCAGAGAGAAAAAGTATTGGTTGTTTGATCTGCAATTAAAAGTCTCAAAACTGTAAATGATGCAAGTTGTGTGGACAGAAAGGAACAAATTGAAGACAATAACAAAGGGGAAACAAATTAATCTTTGCAAAGGAGCCACCCTTTACTTGTAATTTTAAGAAACAGAATGTGGACAAATTAACTTACAATAAGCACTTAACACTGATTTTATAAAAACACGAACTTTAGCATTCTGGCATACATGTAAGTATGAACTAAGTCAAGGTAAAGACTGGAACGTAACATATCAACAAGAAGTCAAAACAAGACCCAAAAAAAGGATACGTGGTTAACATGAAAACTTAATGCATTAGTTTTTGCTCATAACAAACATTCAAACACCAAGCAGATCCTCCTAAAATTATTCTTCCAAGCATAAATGCTAAAAGCCTTTTCAAATTTCAAGTTATTGTCCATCAATAATTAAAACATAAGGACAATAACTCAATATCCTGACCTGGCCAACAACATCAAGGGTATTCCATGGAGATTTAACAACAAAGTTAAGAAGTTTGGGGCCCTTTGAACCACTGCCTCCAATAAACCACTTCAAGAAGGGAAGGAGAACTCCAGCCATGTCAAGGATAGAGGTGAAAGTATTCTCCAAAATAAGTGCAGCAACCTGTAATTGCAAAGTGTCCCACAATATTGTAGGTTAAAGATGGATTTGCATCAGCATATTGTAAAACAGAGAAGCAGAATATCATTTAAACCACTAGCAGAAGCTGAAAGCAGATTCAATAATGATCTTAGATCTCCAAGGTTACAGGTCCTTAGCCAATTACCAGAAGACACAGATTCATAGTAAAAGAATAAGCAATATACAAGACTTAGAAATAAACAAGTACCAATCAGGTAGCAGGCATATTTTTATATAAATAAAATCAACACAAATTCATTAGACTGATACCTTATCAGGGTTATTTTTAGTAAGCACAGCTCCAACTGCTCCACCTAGTGACCTTCCAAACACAACTATTCTTGATGTATCAATATCTGTCCTCTGAACCAGATGATCTAATGCTGCCTATATGGAAGACAGCAGCATACGTTAGAACTCAAACTGAATGATATGCATGAAAAACGGTGAGACGAAGTTCTGGGGGCATACAAAACCTGAGCGTCCTTCGTTATTCCATGTTGAGAAGGGTATCCATCACTGGCACCATATCTATGTACAAGAAAAAACAAGCTTATTATGCATCAACAAGTTATTGCTAAGGCAAACTACAGGGATAAAGTCAATAATTAGCATACCCTCGGTATGAAAGCATAAAAACATTGCAATTCAATCGTTGTAACAATATGCGGACCATTTCAAGACGATGGGCAATATCTGAAGTTGACTAGTTAAGGCTAAACCAAGTGTAATGAAGTAATGATAAGAAATTTGAAAAGCACAAACATCGCCCAAAATAACAAGAAGAAAAGGATACTTCCAGCATTTTCCTGAAAAAAGAGGATAGTTGGGCCTGCAATACAAAATTAAACCACCATCAACCATCATGAGCAAACTCACACAAGAAACTGGCAACAAATCAGTTATTATCACAATCTGCAACATTCTTAAAGTACTCTCAAAGATTCATTATAGTTTATATGTAACAGCTAAGCAACCTAGAGACATTACTACTCAATAACATAACTATTTACATTTTGCAAAAAAAAAATTCACTTCCCAGCATCTTATCAATAGATATCATAAATAGAAGTAAAAAAACATCATTGCCACTTCGAACTAAATTCAATTATTAGAATAATTTCTCAAACTCTGCAACCCAACAGCCTATACCTCAGAAATTGAAGCTCACCTAAAAGTATAAACACATACACCAATACCCCTGTATACCACCAAGTTAGTTACAAGACTGGCATTTGATAGAAATTAATCTCCTGTTCTGAATTTTCCAACAAGTTATTAACACAGACCTTTAGTTCATAATCTCAAATGACCTAGTAAGTTCCAGCTCATGAACTCTTCAGCAAGATCCACGAAAAAAAGTGAAAATCAACAAAAGATCGCATTTCCTGACTAAAGTTAGGTCAACATGACCCTCAGAGTCCAGTATATTCTTCAACAATATAATAAAACGAGACATACAATCCTAAATTCCATACAAATTCAAGTAAGATAAATCCCCATTTCACCAAAATTGCAGCACAGCTGGGTTCAAAAGTGAGGAAAATCATATATACGTAGAGAAGGGGGAACCTCGGCAGTCGGGCACGAGCTTGATGAACCAGGCATGAAGGCGCACGCCATCTGAAGATCTGAGCCAGACGTCTTCGTAGAGAAGACGGAGACGAGCCGGCGTGATCGGATAGGACTTGGTGAGGCCAGGCAACACCGGCACGTACACAAGCTTCTCCTGGAACGCCACCAGCAACGCCATTCCGGCCACCACTATCCCTCCCACTCCGTACGCCAACACGCTCATGTACGACACCATCGTAACTTTGAATTCCTTTTCCGATTCTCTCTCTCTCTCTAGCTCGATGTGTATCTGTATGTATGTATATGTGATTTTGTATAAGAAAATGCTACATGTTCTCGCATTTAGTAGTCTCAATTTATATTTTCACACACAAAATTTTGATGTTGACGATTTACATAAAAAATAATAATAATAATTTATCAGAATTTATCATATTAGAGATTAAAATTTAGGAAGTAAAATTATAGAGTACATATAGTAGTAGAACTCTTTTGTATATCTATCTATCTGTACACCGTCTTTCTCTCTCTTCCCGATGATGCAACTTGGTACCTTGATTCCTTGAAAAACTAATGAAACGAGCCCACTTCACTACTTCTCACTTCTTGCTATCATACTACCAGGTGTATTATTATTTTTTATTCTATTTTTCTTTTTCTTCCAAAAAGTTAAATCCCTAATCCAATAGCATTCACACCCCAACTCGACAGAATATTGTGAAGATATAAATTACGATAATTCAATGAAAAATCTCAATCCGAGTGCGACCCGGAACATGGTCGATGAATATGCGAACTGGGACTTTGGCTCAGTAACAGGGCTAAATATCGATATGCACAATGTATCTGCCCACTCTACTATCTATCTCTAAATAACTTATAAAAGTCAATACATGTTGTATTCTTGAATTATGTTTATATATTTTATACTTGTTAAGTTGTACATTATATTAAAAGCATTACACTTTAATTTTTTATGATCAAATTGTCCTTACACGGTTAAGTATTTCATTAGTTAGGGCAACCCTAACAGTAGTTTTATTGTTAAAAAATAAAAAAATAAAAAAACTTGTTTTGATAATATGTAAGAGAGACCGGGTTGGATAAGAAGGGGAAAAAAATTACAGTGAATTTTTCTGACTTTAGGGTCCGTTTGAAAAACAAGAAAATGACTTCTGAAAAATGAGCCATTTTCCAGAAGTCATTTTTCTTTCCTGTGTTTGGCTGCACAATGAAAGACTGTCTTTTGGTGTTTGGCTCATTTTTTAGAAATGATGTAAAATTGTATAATTAAACATTTTATATAATTAATTATTTTGTTTAAAATATATAAAATTTACAATAATATTATAAATAATAATATTTATTTTTAAAATCAAATAATATTATTTGTTAAAAAAAAAAACAGAATATTCATTGGTTTCCGGTGGAACCAAATCATGTCATGGTTTCCGCGCAGGAAACCATGTCATGGTTTCTGCGCAGGAAACCAGACCGGAAACCAGACATTCTTTGGTTTCCGCCGGAAACCATGACTTTCGCGCAGGAAACCATCTAGTTTCCGCGCCGGAAACCAAGATCTGGTTTCTGCGCGGAAACCAGATGGGTTGTTTATTATTTTTATTTAAAAAAAAAAAAAAACCTTTGGTTTCTGTCGGAAAGGAGTGAGCCCAAAAGCCAGAGGATGAGGAAGCCAATGAAGATGAAGAAAGTCAGTTGTTCTTGACGTGAAGAAATGAAGAAGTCAACATCCGGAAAATAACTTTTCCTTTTTTAAAGGGGAAGTTGTTTTCCTTAAAAATAAGCTCATTTTCCATTGATCAATACTTCATTTTCAGTTGATTTCAAATTTTCCTTCTTTCTAAACATTGAAAACCCGAAAAATGATTTTCAGAAATCATTTTTCGGGTTTCCAAACACACCCTTAATGAATCTCATTAAAAAAACAAAAAAAAAAAAACGAAAAAAAAAAAAAAAGTTAATTTTGCACACCAACTACGCTTGTTGGGCACATTGAGGGTGGTTGCCAACTAGGAACCACCCCCTTTTTGTTTTGATTTTGTTGTTTTTTTTTTTTTTTTAAACAAAAAAAGTGTTAACGTTGTTTTTAAGTAGTAATTACTAAATCAGTTATCTATTTGCATTTACCTTGAATACATTACCTACCAAAATAATTATTTAATTATTAAATGCTAAATTAAACCAAATATATATTATTACTATAAAGTATCATTTACATATTTACCAATTATAATATATAACTACTCAACATAAATAAACTTGAGCAAAATTATCAAATTTATCATAAATAAAATACATCATTTAAAATATTTTACCTAGACAAACATATCCGTATTATAATTTATAAATACATATAGATAGAATATAATTTAGATTCTATGACTTTTATCATTTATTTATTTATTATTTGAAATTATTATATTATTGTTATGTATGAATATTTTGTTCTTTATACCACTTACTCCTTTTTGATTCTCATACAAATCAAATACTTCAATAGAAACGATAATTTTAATTACTACTTTAATCTCTAATTTTTTGCATTGCAATCAAACGACGTGTAATATTTTCATAATAGTGGTAAGATTGCAATTTTGCAAGAATAACATATTTGTTACATTGAATACAAATTTTCAAACTATATTGAAATGAGTGGTCAAATGGATGAAACAATACTCTTATATCTAAAGGTTATTACGAGTTTAATTATTGTCAATACCTCCTCTATTGAGCTTGTAATTGAGTAGGCAAAACATACTTCTCGTATCTAAAAGTCACGAGTTCGATTTTTATCAATACCCTATCGATTAAGCTATTCACACATGATCTTTTCAAAAGATTATCTAGTCATTCAAAGAAAAAATATCCGTAATTTCGAAAAAATATCCGTAATCTCACATAGGGAGTGAGTGAAGTTTAACTTATAATAGTATTTCGTAATTTCTTTTTCGCATATATTAAGGTATGTTGGTAGCACTTTGTAAGCGAGGTTGTTTGTTAGTGTGTACTTGACTTGATGAGTTGATGTATATATATATATATATATATATATATATATATATATATATATATATATTGTACATTATATAATTAAAATATAACATTATAATACTTCAATTTAAATATTACATTGATTAGACATACATATTATTGGCATTCAAAAAAAAAGACATACATATTATTTATATGATTTGTACTAACATATACAAAAATATACAAATTATCATTCCACAATATATTATTTGATTCACACATTACGTTAACTAAATTTGCACGCTATGCATACCGAGTTTCCAAGCTATTCTAATATAGTTTGTAAGAACAGATAAAAAAATACATGATATTTGAACTTAATTAGATCGCCTAACTCCGATTAGACCACTTAAATCTGGTCAAACACCAAAAACCTCTCCATAACGCAAAATAGTTACTCCTAGCTTGTCTCCCAATAAATTACCTCATTATTATCCATACCCACAAAACAAATTAGCCTTTGGTTTCTTTACAACCTCCCACCTCTTTTATGCATCAATAAATTAGCTATTAATTGTCCCACTAAAACCACCAATTTACTACCCATAATTAGCCATAAATCCTAATGAATTCCCTCACTAATTACCCATCTTCTACCCAACGTCTATACTAAAACCACCAATTTTTTGGAAGAATAATTAGCCATAAATCCTAATGAATTCCTTCACTAACAGGGCGTTTGGTTGGAGGGAGGGAATTATGTGGGAAATGAATTGTAATTTCATGGGAGTTGAATTACTGGGAATAAAGTGGGAATTTAAATTTCAGTGTTTGGTTGACAAGAATAAAATTACTGGGAATTTCAATTCCAATGTTTGGTATACATGGAAATTGAAAGGGAATAAGTAGTATAAAGTAAAAAATGTCCATTATTGTTGTTAGACATTACTTTTAGGTTAAAAAATGAAGGGGTAATTTTGACTCATCACTATCTTTTTTTCTCAGGAATTAAAATACCAGGGGGGACATGGGATTTTAATTCCATGAAAATGGGGGAATTGCAATTCCATGGAATTGCAATTCCCTCCAACCAAATTACGGAATTTAATGGCCTTTGGAATTAGGTGAGAATTAAGTGGGAAGAAAATTTAAAATTCCTCCAACCTTCTACCCAACGTCTATAATCCTATTTCTGTAACTATAATGACATGTTTCGTTCATGAAATAAGTCAGAAATGAAATGACATTTCTTGAAATAGACATATTTTATTGTTTGGTTCGTCACTTTGTCATGAGAATACTATTATTGCGACGGTACGGCAGAATTTCAGAATACACCAATAGTGTTAACAATATGCACCAACAGTATAAGGGCAAACAACGCAATGAAATGCAAAAAAATACACAACAGACCCAAAAAATTACACCATATAACTCACCACACTCAAAAGGTATATTTTCGAACACTGTATGGTGTTTTTATTCACACCGAATTGTGTGTTTTTGGTGATGCGTACCTAATTTGTGTGTGTTTTTGTAGTGCATTTTCCTAACGTTGATGGTGTATATTTGTTGAAATATTGGTGATGCCGCACCTAAGGACATCGTCGCACTTGAACCTTACTATATATATATACATATATATATATATATATATATATATATATTAATGTTGCAAAAAACGTTAGGCGCCCCCTAAGCGGCAAGGGGGCGCCGATTTTTTTTATTTTTTTATTTTTTAATTAAAAATAAAATTAAAAATTAAAATTTTTTAAAATTTAGTAATAAAAGATAAGTTTTCCATAGTTATTTCTCAGAAATTATTTACGAAAGTGGTTGTAAAATTGCTCAAAAGATTGTTTAAACCATCTAAATACATAAAAAAAAAAAACTAAAATTAAGAGCTAAAGAAGTATTTTTTTGAGAAATTAGTGGACCAAACTGCCTTCGACCGTTTGCGGTGAATAGATCTTGAAAAATTTGTCTCGAAAAAATTCAGCCGGCTAGGCGGTCTAGGCGGCCGACCGCGAAGGAGGCCGATTCCGGCCTTCTTCGCGGCGGCGGCCGGGCGCCTAGGCGCGATTTTTGCAACCATGATATATATATATATATATATATATATAGGGTTGAGTTCAAATGAGGACAACAATATATAGAGGACTGTGAGGACAAATAATGGGCACACAACTTAATACATAATGGCACACAAGAATAATTGTAAACATCAGGTTTCGAACCCGAGCTCTATAAATTAACAAATCTAGTACGCGACATACAAACTGTGGCACACGACTACATTCGGTCATGCACACGACATACCGACTAATGGCACGCACTACATTTGTCCTCACAGTCCTCTATAATATATTTGTCCTCATTTGAATACACACACACACACACACACACACACACACACACACACACACACACACACACACACACACACACACATATATATATATATATATATATATATATATATATATATATATATATATATATACACACACACACATTTATATATTTCTTATTTTACCCCTAATTAAATTTATTTTCTATTTCACCACCACCACCAACGCCATCATCATCGCCACTGCTGCCGCCTCGCCACTACCACTAACACCACCACCACCACCACACCAACCACCGCTGCCGCCACTGCCACCATCACCAGCACCAGCACCACCCCACCACCGTCACCGCCACCACATATTTTCATAAGGGTATTTATGTCTTTTAAAACATATTTTATTTCTATTCCTTAAACCAACCAAACACTGTAATATAATTCCTAAAATCTATTCCTTCCGCAAATCAAACAATAGAATACAATTCATATTCTATTCATTGGATATTTCATTCCTTATGAAATAGCATTCTTATTACCCCAAAATTGATTCAGTGAACCAAATGTGTTGTAAAAGAAGGTAAGAAGCAAGAGGCGATGGACATCACTCTCCCAAGGCAAGCACTCTTCCCATCCATGCACTCTTTCTCTCAACAAAGAAGACTCCTTCTCTATCCTACAAAATTAGCTTTATCCCTACACAATACTTTGTATACAAGATAGCCCTCCAACATGTATAAAAACACATACAAAATACATAGTGAATTTAGACTTGACACCGCCCAAAAAGGCCCGTGGTTTTCACCTTTCGGTTTCCACGTAAAAACTATTGCGTTTATTATTTTCCTACTTATCTTTTTACAACTTTAGTTTTCCGGTGAATCCACCAATCTACTGGTTGTGTTGGACCCTCGTGGGGTGCCAAAAGTCCTAAAACCAACACACATGATACTGCCAAAGACTAGTCGAATGGGCAAATTATTCGAGATATACACGTTGTGCGCCCGGGCCCAAAACGATGTCAAACCCTCCCCTATCTGTTTTTTTTTTTTTTGGTGGAAATTTCGTTTCCTGTGTCTGTTGTTAACTTTTTAAAAAATAAAAAATCGTATTTCGAATGTACATAATTGTATAACAGAATACACATTCTTTTTTGAAAAGATAATACAGATAATCTAACATCTAACATAATACATAATACACATAAACTCTTAACTTTTTATAAAAAAATCTCATGTTTCGAATGTACATATTTGTATAACAGAATGTACATAATTATATAATAGAATGTACATAATTGTATAACAGAATACACACACTATGTCGCGTCAACTTCCCTCACAACTTAACAAAACGACGTCGCTTTGGGCAAGGCGGGGTGCACGATATAACGATTGAGTCGAATGATATAATTGTGGCTCTTTCAAAGAACTACCAGCTTAAAAGTCAGATAGACAGCTCACAACTCATACATGAAATCAAACAAAAAAAGTATGAAAAGTTCGAAAGCGCTCAAAAGTCGGATAGACAGCTCACAACTTCTACATGAAATTAAACCAAAAAAGTATTTGCAAGAAAGTCCGGAAACGCTCAAAAGGCGGATAGACAGCACACAGCTCCTACATGAAATCAAACCAAAAAAGTATTAAAAACCCGGATGCGCTCAAAAGTCGAATAGACAGCTCACAACTCCTACATGAAATCAAATCAAAAATGTATTTGCACGAAAGCCCAGAAGCGCTCAAAAGTCGGATAGACAGCTCACAACTCCTACATGAAATCAAACCCAAAAAAGTATTTGTAAGAAAGCCCAAAAGCACTCAAAAGTCGAATAGACAGCTCACATAGTCCCTACATGAAATCAAGATAGACAACTCTCATGGAAAATCAAACTTGAAATTTTATTATTACCAAATCACCAATCTTGTGGTCCTAATTGACAAATTACAACAATGAGTTAAACCAACATAAATTGCCCATCGATTCAAACCAATAAGGCCAATAGGCAGCCCCTACAAAAGTCGAACTTGTAACATTAAGGTTTACCAAGTCAACAACTTTGAAGCATCGAACTTATTAAAGGAAAAAAAAAAAAAAAAACATTGCATGACAAACAAAACCTTAATCTTTAACAAAGGCATACACATTCAACATATATTAGCAGTAGCAGTAAAGATAACTTAGTTGCTTCCCTATCAGTGAACAACATAAAATTTAATGGTTACACGACAGACTAAGCATTATCTTAAAGTCATCAAAAAGAAAAAGGTCAAGCATGTCTTATTGCAGTTTCTAAGAAAAAAAAACAAAAAAAAGGAACCAAACTAAACACAGAAACTTCAATTCTTCACAGGAAAAGTGACAATAGCCAAGGATGAAATGCCTGCCCAGTGAGGAACTCCTCACCGGACACCCGGAGAATATGCATTGCAAGTAAGCCCGCCCCCGCCTTGCATGGAAGCAGCAGCGGCCGCCATGTGAGAAGGCAGGCTCGAGAGCCTGTGATGATCGGGCGGCTGGAAGATGACGTTGCCATGAACGCCCTGAGACATCCCGTGTGGAGTAGAAGAGGCAGTCGAAGCCCTGTGGTGCTTCGCAGAATCACTTCCAGAACCGCAGTTCATTGACAGCGATTCTCGCAGCTTCTTCGTGCTAAGGAATCGCCCGCCCGAGCCCCTAACCCTATTCACTGCATGAAGATGGCGGGACTCGTGCAGGTATGGCTGCACACCATTTAAACACGCAATCATATCATCAGTCACATATCATTTTTTTTTTTTGAATACTACTGACTCTATTACAAGGTAGTATCTGTTCTATACTTTCTCTAACTATTGCAGCCCAAAGAGTCAATACCCACCACCGGGGTTCGATCCTCTGACCTTCCCTCAAGGAGAGCCAGCCACAGAGGTGCTATCTGATAACAAGGTGCTTGGCTCAGTCACATATCATTATTTGGACACGACACAAGTTCAGACATGGCAGCCTAAACGTCTTCCGTGTGGAATCATCAAACCTTTATACGAGTGTGATGAAAACCTTACGAAACTAAAATATTTTCAACTTGTAGCTAAGAAACAACGAACGAGCAGAGAGTAATACAAACCCTTCTAGTTTTCACGAGCTTGTTTTGCGCCTCGAGCTTTGCCCGTATTTGTCTCCTCCTTAGTATTCCATGGTACTGTTTTGCATTGACATAAATCGGTCCATCTTCTGCAAGATCAAGTGGCAATGGTACCCGAGCAGGTGCAATCCCGACCATTTGAGGCTGAAGTTGATTACAATCAGAAACAACAATTAATCCAACACAATATCTAGGAGTGAGAAACCGAGCTAAAACCATGTTGCCATCAATGCAAACGAAGTATATTCTCAAACACGTAAAGATAAACTTAGTATATATATACTCACAAAAGGCTGAGGTCCATAAGCAGTAAATAAGCCACTGAAGTATGGATCTGAGTAATTGTAATTAGAGTGAATCTGAAACGAGAAACTGAAAGATCAGATTAATGGATAAAACCTCGAATAAAAACCCTCATCATAATCTTACCGTGGATTGACCCATTTCACCTTGGGCTGGATTCACGGGAAATTCTGGATTGCTAATAACGAACATAGGCTTGATTTGAGCAGGTACATGCTTCCCACGACTTTCTTCTTGAAATGAGTCAATAAAAACAATAGGTTTAGTTGTGGCTATGTCATTTTAGGACAGGATGAAGCTTCATTGATGATAATACAGCTCATATGAAGAGGACAAGGAAAACTGGGAAACGGTCCAAATTGTGACCACATGGTGGCATTAAATAACATTTACAAAAGAAGTAGGAGTACATAGAGGAATTGCCACTATATTTCGGTTTTAAAAACTGTGCAGTTGCTCTCCCATATGGGAGGTTGTGGGTTCGAGCCTCAATGGAGGCAGTATTGACTCTTTGTGCTTCAGTAGTTATGAACAGATACTGTATTGTAACAGAGTCAGTAGTACTCAAAAAAAAAAACCTATCCAGTTGCAGTCCTCGTCACATAAGGATTGCCGTGATAGTAGCAAAAGTAGAAGTTAGAACTAAAACATAATTCGCAAGTATCATCGAATCGGGGGAGGGAGAGAGAAGAAAAAATTGAGAATGAATAACGGATCTTAAAGACTACAAGTATAACTGGTTCAGTAGTGAGTACCGGATCCAGATGAAGGGCACGGGTCTTGAGAAGTAGTTTTCCTTGCAACGGTAACTTCCCTCGGGGACTGAAACGCTGACTGAGCTGGAGGCGAGGCATGGCCTTGTAACTGCAGGCTTAAAGGCTCCATGTCCTGAAAGTAAGTAGATGAAAATTACGCTATGTACTTTTCACTAGCAATCAGCACCAAAAGTGACATATATTAAGGTTGTATACGCTAATGTTGAATCACATGTTGCTACAAATGTGTCTGTCTCTTTAACTAACTTAAGCATACAACATTAAATAGGCATACGATGAAGATTTCATACGACAACAGAGTAGAAAATCATAAACTTAAAGGTGCACCAGATTAATCAGATAGAAAAGCAAATGGTATTGCACAAAGCTAAATTGAAAAGCAACGAATATGTCCCCACCCCCCAAAGCCCCGCCCCTTTCGTAGACGAGATAGAATTCATATGCTATGGAGGAAAAAAAGGGTTAGCTAATAGCCAGGCTGTTCATAAACCGGAACTGAAAATCATTAAACCCTTCTCAAACAAGCCCGAGGAATCCAAATCTTCGAGCCCTTTTTTCCTCGAGGACTGCACAACACTAAACGCCTCTCAAACTGCATATCTTCAGGACTTCCAGTTCTTCGTTTTAAATCCAGGAACCACTCAATACCAAACTGTGATTCCACAAACAAGTCAACAACAACAACAACAGGGTCTTCATTGTGAAGTGGGGACCCCGAACTAACAAGTTGAAAATATTATAGCAATCCCCCAAGAACATCAACTCGCAATTCCAAAATTATAGACAAGATTATTAAATTAAATCAGTAGATAATTGGCAAAGAGGGCTAAGAATACAAGGGTTGGTGAGCTTTCAATGGGGTCAAGGAAGGAAAAGTGCCCAAAATGTCACAATAATTCATCTCTATTTCATGGATGGTAACACAGACCTAACTAGTCAGATCAAATGGGAACCTCAAACTGTAGCATCCAAAATCAAATCAAGAATTTCTGCTAATGATGAAAACCAACAAATTAACAGATCCCTATCTTCCACTACAATCAATAACCAAGCAACACAACCACTCTCATCAATCATGGGCACAGCAAAACTGTGTACTAAATCATTTCAGACCAAACAAATGACCATTCCATCATGTACAATAGGCCCAGAGTCATTAAACTGGAAACAACCAAAATGTTTCCCTTTTCTTTTGTTGGTAGGAAATAGAGGGGGTGGGATTTGAGTAAATAAAACACAAACGTAAACCACCCCCCTATTTAAGGATACCCAGTATAGATTCCATCATTTAAACCCAAAACAGAACCATTCAAAAGGTCAACAAAAAGTCAACCATCTGTCCAGATCCTTTCCCCATTACCAGGCACCTGAAGTTCTTCATACATTCAAGATCAAAAATAAGACCAGAGCATATAAATACAAACAAAAAAACAGCTGCCTGCAAACAAGAAGTCAAAACCCAGGTCTTATTCAAGGAAATCTTTTGACAAAAACAAAAAATACCACCCAAAGGCAGCACCTTTACTCATTAATTTCTTACCCATCTAAAGAATCACCACCAAGAACAAAACTCATAACTCCAAAACCCCATGCATTAAAGATTACAGAGAAAAACCCAGAAAGAGCATCAGAAAATCAAAAGAGACCAAGAAACAACAATAAAAGTGCAGTCTTTTCACTAGAACCAGAACTCAAAACCCCATTTTTTGCAATACCCAGCAACGGGAAACTGTATATCTACATGTACACAGTACACACACGCATATAAATATAAATATATGCACACATGGGTAGTCGCTGAAAATGGAAAGGGAGAGGGACAGAGAGAGAGAGAGACCTTTGGGATCTGGTAAGATTAGAAGAGGAAAGATACACAAGTGTTGCCTGTTGGGATGAAATTAGGCATGTTTCCTCCCTAGAAACTCTCTCTCTCACTAGGAATTCTCTTTCTCCTCCCTCTAAAACAAATAGCAAGAATCTTTGGTGCACGTTCCTTCCGGACTACGATGTATACAACTATACACTAAGCTAAATTGTTTAATATAATATATATATACTCACACACACACAAAATATCTGATTAATCCCAGTAGAAAGGCACTTCACCCCTGCACCCTTCGCACCACCGTATGCAGTAACCCCACTTGGACTGCTGGGGTTTCTTTTAGTAATTCTAGAAATATTTATTGGTTACAAATTAGACTTTAAACCCACTCAACTTTTACTCCAAGTTGTATGTAATATTGTAATGAGGTTATGTTTATAATATCGTTTGGGTTAAAATATATTTAAAAAAAAAAAGTTTTGTTGATGATTATTCAACCTCAGTGACTCATTTTATTAAAAGATGTTTAAATAGCTTACTTGGTTGAAACGTTAAATATGATGTTAAATTATCTATGTAATAGGTTCGAATCTCACTAAAAATTTAAAATTTGATCTCTTTAAAAGAAAGTTTTAATTGATTATGTTTCATATTTTTATATCATTTTAAAGTATTTTAAAATTTCACATGTTCACCTCACTCAAGTATATTTTTGACCCCGTACTCAATAATTATGTAGTCTATCAAAAATATTACGGAGTATATTATAATATATAATGTATTTTGTATTTAAACATTATTATGGGTGTTTGATATTTTTTCATTGATATTTCTAACGTCATTTAAACTTTATGATGATTTTATGAATCCACCCCTTTCAATAAGTCCTTTAGATATATTAATAAGGGTCAAATAGGCCACTTAACTGCACACCAAAGTGCAATTAGGCCATTGAACTAAAAAAGAATGTAATTAAGCCATTGAACAACACAAAAGCATGCAATTTAGCCCAAAATGACTTGTTTACCTAGAGTAGCAAGTTACCAATTTCAAAATTAATTTTTTAAAATAATTTTTAATAAATAAATAATTAAATTATTATTAAAAAAAAAAAAAAAAAAAAAAAAAAAAACAAAACAAAACTGAAACTTCCGGCCGGAGACGAACCTCCGTCTCCAGCCATGGAGACAAAGACCTTCGTCTCCATGGCTATGGAGACGAATTCGTCTCCGGCCATGGAGACGACGTCTCCATGGCCAGGGAGACGAAGGGACCGTCCCTTCGTCTCCCTCGCCATGGAGACGAAGGTCTTTGTCTCCATGGCTGGAGACGGAGGTCCGTCTCCGGCCACGGAGACGTAGCCGGCCGGAGACGATTCGTCTCCGGCCGGAAGTTTCAGTTTTTTTTTTTTTTTTTTTTTTTATAATAATAATTTAATTATTTATTTATTAAAAATTATTTTAAAAAATTAATTTTGAAATTGACAACTTGCTACTCTAGGTAAACAAGTTATTTTGGACTAAATTGCATGTTTTTGTGTTGTTCAATGGCTTAATTGTATTCTTTTTGAGTTCAATGGCCTAATTGCACTTTGGTGTGCAATTGAGTGGCCTATTTGACCCTTATTCCGATATATTAAAAGTGAAAGAAAGAAAGAAACTTCTCATATACACAGCTTCTTTTTTCAAATGGTAAAATTAAAATAAAATAAAATGAAAAGCGTGTTCGAGTTGAACTATTTTTCAAATAAAATTATCCATTTTATCCAAATTTGTTAACATCATTGGAAAACAATTTTTTTTGGGAATAAGGTTCAAATTGACCAATGAACGTAACCTGAAAATGTAATTAGGCCACTGAACGAAAAAAAAAAAAAAAAAGTACAATTAGGCTACTGAACACTCCAAAAATGTGCAATTTCACCTGATAGCAGGTTACCCTCAATTTTAGCAGGTTATCTGCTTACAGTTGAACTTTATTCCTTTTTTTTTTTCTAAACAAAAACTACAAATAGCCCTTGAAGATCAATAGTTGTACCAGAAGAAATAACTAAAAACATATGTAAACAATGTCTTTAAAAAGCTAAAATTGAACATTTGTAAAGAAATTAAGAAACAAAATTAAAAAAAAAAAAAAAAAACATGATTCAACGGGTTCGCATCTTTGGAACAAAAAGAAATTCTGTTAAGCACTTTTTATTAAAATAAAAACAAAAATATTTCCAAAATACTATAGAAAAAAATAAAAGACATTATTCAACATGTTCGCAGCTTTTGAACAAAAAGAATTCTGTTCATCACTTTTTATTAAAATCTAATCTAAAAACATAATAAGTGTGAATGAAAGTTATACTCCTCATTTATGTCCGTTTTTTTCATTAAATTTTTTTGTACATTATGCTATAAAAGTTGTACATTAAAATATTTTGGACAAACATATCCCTATCACTATAGCTTCCGTTATCTTTTCCACTATTGTTACCATGCACATGCATCCACCATATATTTCTTATCTTCTTCATTAATAATAATACTAGTTTTGTACGCGCATTGCGCGATTGGGATAATGTCCAATGTTTTTTTTTTAAATAAGTACTTTAAAGTATATCAATGCAATATTATATTAGAATTGTTCATGCATAGATAATTGAATGTTAAATTTGCGTATTTAAATAAACAATTCTAAGTTTACAAATGTAAGATAATATAGTCAAGATTGATTATAATATTATCAATAAAATAATTGTATAGGTATGGTTGAAACCAAATACGGGACATAAGGGAGAGCAAATAAAAATTATGGCTTAAAATATTAAATATATACTGATATTGAAGAGCTAACGGCTGATTGCCAAACAAGGACATTGCAAGATAGTTTCTCACTTCAATTTGTTGTGTGATTTGAATATTCTTTTTGTCAATAAATCTCTCAAGTAGTTAATATGATTCGCTTAATTATATATTTTTTATTTTTTTTTAAAACAATTGTTGTTGTTATTATTATTATTATTATTATTATTATTATTATTATTATTATTATTATTATTATACCCTTAAATTATTTTACATGTTAATCTAAACAACTAATTTTTTCAAATATCTTTTTACCAACCGTTGATATAATTCGCTGGTCAAATTTGCTAATATAATCTGCTAACTGCTGATTGTCAAACAAGGACATTGCGAGGTAGTTTTTACTTCAATTTTTTGTGTGATTTGAATACTCTCTTTGTCAATAAATTTCTCAAGTAGTTAATATGATTGGTTTTATTAATTATATTTTTTAATTTTTTCATAGTATTAATAAAATACTTGGTAAATAAATATATAGCATTATTTTGTATTATAACTTTGATATTTAATTAAAAAATAGTGCACAAAAAAGATAATAGGCAATGTAGTAAATATAATCAATTGATGAATTTGAATGTAAATAATTTTTACATTGGAGAAATATAAAGACAATATAACTAATAAAATTATTTCTCTTAATTACTTTATTGATAATGAATAATTTTTTTTAATAAAGACATTGTAGAGCCAATGTATCAAATATAATCAATTGATGAATTTGAATGTAAATAATTTTTATATTGGAGAAAAATAAATACAATATAACTAATGAAATTATTTCTCTTATTTAATTTATCGATAATGAATAATTTTTTTTTGAATAAGGATATTGTAGACACATAATTCTAAATTAAAGAAATGCATATGTATTATTTTTTGTTGTAGCTACTAAATTATTATTTAATTTAATGAGAGTAAAATAGAGTACTAATTATGTCAATTTTGATTGGGATGAGGTTCGAACATAAGACCTTTCTTATTGAAATCAATGAGTAAGTTAACGGTGAACTAACAGAAATTAACGGAAAATATAATATTTAACGGAAAAGTTAACGAATAATCATATTCATTAAGGACTAAATTATTATTTTAATTTAATGAGAGTAAAATAGCGTACTAATTATGTCAATTTTGATTGAGATGAGGTTCGAAGATAAGACCTTTCTTATTGAAATCAAGAGTAAGTTAACGGTGAACTAACATAAATTAACGGAAAAGATAATATTTAACGGAAAAGTTAACGGATAATCATATTCATTAAGGATAAATTAGGAAATCTTAAATAAAAATTAAAATCTGATAAATCTGAGCCATTCATTTAATTAAAAAATTTGACCGCCATTTTTTCTACCCATTATAGGCCTAACTCTCTTGGGCTCTTATTAGTATAGTAGATAGTAGATAGTAGATATATAATAGATATATACATTATATATTTGAGTTATATGTTAATTATTACCTAAAATATAAATATCAAATTTATAAAAATGAATTACATTATTATTATTATTATTTAAAATAATTTAAATATCTAAAATTTAAATAAATTTAAAATTTTAATAATGTATTAATATTGGGCGCCTACTTTTTGCGTATCGCGCATAAAAAATACTAGTAAAATAAATATGTACCAAAAATACTATAGAAAAAAAAAAATATATAAAGACAAACAGAAGCCGCGCATTCTTCACCTGATTTATCATTCAAATCAGTTCACTCCCCTGTAACGTTAGTGTAGCTTTTAGAGCACAGTTCATAGCCGCCCCTCAATTATTTCAATGCCCACTCACGCGCTCATTAAACGTCACGTGCTGATGCTTTTGCTTGCGCGACTTTCAACTCATCCAATCCCATATTCTCATCTATAGGCACATCAATTGTAGCCCCAAATCCACATATTAATTTGACAAATATTTTTTTTAACGAAATAATGCGATTGCGAAGAGAGAAATGTCGTTAACAACAAATAAAAAATAAAATTATGAATCTATAGCATATAAATTATGAATCTACCAATGTGTATGAACACGTTTCCACGGCATAATTTGCGGTCAAGTTGTCCGACTAGCTTGTTTAGCCCAATTTCTTTAAAAAAAAAAAACTAAATTAATAAAAGTCTCAACATATTATATGCTTATTTTGATATATAACGC